TATTTTCGACTAAGCAACTAACTTCAAAATATAAAACAATTTCTCATTCTAAAGACAGTGCCAAGACCTACTTCCTAGAGTATATAAAGAATTTACAATTAGAATCATATTATTTGGTTTTAAAGAGACTCGACGCTATTATTACCAGTTTAAAAAAATTAAAGACTAAAACCGAAGAATCTATTTTAAAACGAAAACCCTGGATAAAATTTATAATTCTATCACATATAATTACATGCATTAAACCATTAAACATAATCAGTCAAATTGATAATCTCCTCCTTTTTTTAAATCAGTTAAAATGTAGAGTGTAGAAAAATTTAAAATAATGATCTCTTACTAAATTTAAATTGCCTATTTTATTTTGAAAGCAGTAGTATTATATGAACAATACAATATCACGTTAAGGTGGAAGGTAATATTTTATTGTGATTGATGTGTTAAATATTTAACAAAGAATTTCGTTTTGAAGACTGAAAAAAAATTCACGATTCGAAGGACCTTAAAGCCCGACTTTCAAAGTAATACACATATTTCTCCTCAATACTGAATCAGCAAACCTTAACAGAAAAGACGTTTAAGATTTCGTCAAGTCATAAGCAATAATTTTGATACGAATACAGCTGCTAAAATATTTTGATTGTGCTACAGTAGATTAACGTGTATAGCCGGTGAGTCGTCAATAGGATGACCAAAAGATTTTGACGTTGATGGATAATTTCATAACATCATCATCATCATCATTACAGCCTTTCATAAGTCTACTGCTGAACAAAGGCCTCCCCCGAGCTATGCCACAAAGCACGGTTCTGAGCCACTTGCACCCATCAACTGCCTGCACGTCTTACCAGGTCGTCACTCCATCTAGTAGGGGTTCGCCCTACACTTGCCTACTGGTACGAGGCTGCCACTCGAGAATCTTTTTCCCCATCGGTTGTCGATTACCCCAGCTTATCAATCCGTTTAATTTAAATTTCAAATAAAAACAAAAATAAAATCTCAAATAAAATCATTTACACTCAACAACAAAATCTATGATAACTTAGTTATTGCAAATTATATTTAGACTTGACCAGGCAGTATCCAGCCGTGGTTATATATGTAAATGAAAATGTTAATTAAACTCTCGACAATCATTCAATATAAATAAATAAATAAATATATATATATATATATATATATATATATATATATATATATATATATATATATATATATTAATTTTTCAGGGTCAAATGTTTTATAATTTTTTTTTGGTAATATTCTCCAAGAAAATTTGTCCGATAAAAATGGTATTAATAGTCGGTTTACTAGATGAACTTACGCAGGCGTTGTCTTGATTCACGGTTGTGCGCTACGCGTTAGTCATGCCGGCAACCAGTCGCCACTGACCGCGGGGACTGCGTTTTCATTCCTTGCGTTGCAATTTCTGCTTTAAAAACTTTCACTGTGACTTTTTTGTATGTTTTAAAATTAAGTTTGCAAAAAGTCGAAATAATCTCTCATGTTTAATACAAAATAATTTCGGATTTATCATTTTATTATAGACTGCATATAGATGAGATATCGTGGTAGAGTCACGTGATATATATTATAGTTGCAGCACAAATGGGTGGACTTGACCTGGGTTGGACACTGATCTCCCAAAATACCAACGTAAAATAGCAGCTTAATTCTGCTGTGTATCGTATGGTGAGTGTAGAGAACTGGATACCCTTTTTACAACTAGTGAAGCATTCTGTTTTAGCCCTTAGGGGTGACAATGCACCTATAGGATGGAGGAGGAGGATAAATTGTAGCTGTTTATGAACCACAGCATCCACTGGACTGGTGGACTGTGTACTCGTTTGTCACCCTTCTTCTATAAAATTAATAAATAAATGATTACATAATGTTTTTATTACAACTACTTTCTTTTGTTTATTGCACAGTTTAGGTTTGTTCCGCATCGGTCATTGGATAGATATAGTTAATAAAAAGCAAATAAAAATATACTTGAACAATGGTACTGCTAATTTCATTTTAAAATTTCTTTGCTATTATTGTTGTGATACAATGTGAGTTAAAAAAATATTACAGGAGAATGTTTAACTTTTGCAGTTCGCATTACATACAAGCTGTATTAACAATTACTTAGAAGAAAAATTCGTTTTGACAGATGTCAAAAGCAAGGTCTCGTTATTTTTATATCTTACTATCGATTCGTCCCGGCTTCACACGAGTGATTTCTGGATCCCAACAACAGCGCTACCTACCGGGTCTAATTGTGAATCTGAACTATCCGGGGACACACAAAAAAATTCATCAAAATCGGTTCAGCCCTTTTATAGTTTTTGCGGGACTAACGGACAGGAATTGATTTTTATACATAGAGTTAAAAGTTTTATCTGGTAAGATACATTTTAGAGGCCGTCTGTAGCCTCTACATAAGGATCTTTTTCGCGTCTCTATTTGAGTATCATGTTAATATGACATCGAAAGAAAATCTTAACCGTGATAATTTCATTCGGATATCAAAGTCACGTGCAAGGTCGAACGCGTTTGTAATCTTTGAGTCATTCCTTATCACTTACTCAATGTTATTATTGCAGAAGTTTGAGTAAAAATTTGCAACCTACTCTAAACTTCTATTACTTAATATCTAATTTCTACGTGCATTTACAGTTTCTTTTTCATTATCAGTGTAGAATAAAATAACAAAATAACTTAATTTATGACGAAAAAACTGTTTTTAAAGAAACCTATGAGGACGTATTTTGTAATTTTCACCCTAATATGTGAAAATTTCAAAATTACAAATAATTATAGGTTATTATTTGTAATTTAAAAACAAATATTAATTAAAGGTATCTACTACTCATTAACAAAATTGTATATTATATAATAATTATTATAAATAAAAATTATTATTTTTAATAACTAATTCGACCTCAAGATAACATTTTTGCTGTGTGTAGAGAGCTAATCTAGTAGTAATCTAGTAACTATTCAATTGTAATAAAGTATACTCAACAACAAAAAAGCAGCATCATTTATCGGAACATACAACAAAAATTATCTTGTATTAATTATGCTTACGCATAAAACCGGACCGAGTGAACAGTGCACACACTCGGCGGGTAACTCTCGTTCCGCAAGCTTTGTCCGCGCGTTCGCCTTGCACACTATTATAACATATTAAGATCTTATTTCTCTTCGCCTTCGTGTCGCGATATCCGGTGCTTTATACTGCTTCTTTTGAACGCGACCTAAAACAACTAAAACCTCTTTTAAATGGTGCACGCCAAAAAAGTTCAGTTCACGAACATTATTAAGGTGCTTTGATCAATTTTTTTTAGAGAACGTAGGGCAAAGGAATGCTTATTAATAGTTAAATTAGAGTAAAATTCAAAGATAGTAGGAATCGTTCGTAATAGACTTTAACTGTTTTTCTTTTAAAAATTATCTAAAATATATAGTTTATAGTTCCTGCGGACGACATTGTCCAGGAGTGCATATTCTCCGTTGCACCAAATATACTATAATGTCTTATAACCTAAAATTACTAGCATTACGTTGCTCGAATTCCGCAATGGACAAACCGTTGGAATGACCATTACCTCTTTAGGCTAGTATTTTATAATAATAAAATTAGAATTAAAATTTAATTGATGTAAAAAAAAAAACTAAATAAAACAAAACGCAACAGTATATAACTTATACTGTTGCGTTTTGTTTTGTTTATTTGTCATACAGTATAAGTTCTACATTGTGTTTTAAATTGAAAGAACATTATTTTAATAAAAGCTATAAGAATTTCCAAACGGTTTTTCATATAAATCAGTTAATTACTCTTCTATACACAAAAAAAAAATAAGTTTACCGGTCCATTACTCCAATGCTTGTGGCGCGCAACTTAACATTATTGTTATTCCTTTGCTTCATTAAATTATTATTCGCCGACCTTGTTCGCGATTGTTGAATTAAATACTCCTAAATAATTTGCAGGTTGGGTTAATTTAATTAAAAGTTCACCTAGTTGCGATTGTGTATGAAAAACCTTCGACATGCGCGATACGTTTGTCGCAGCGTTTACGTTTTCACACAAAGTTAGGCATATTAACGTCAGCGCTGTTTCTACGATCGTGTGAAAAGGTATTTATTAATTATGAAGTAGCTCGCCTTATTTGATGACGGGTTGGGGTGCCTTTAAATATATTCGCACGCCAACGACCGCTCCCTAACACATGTGCGAATACTGTTACTATGTTGTTAATAATTATTCTGTAGCTTTGACGTCTTCTTAGACCTGTTAATTACTTCGAAACTGAATATTGTTTCAAAACTACTTTTACAACACATATTTGATTCACATAAGTAAACTAATTATTTGGCCTCTTTTCAATGATTGGACTCGGGTAAATGATTGGTTATTGTTATTGTAATCTTATCGTACATTTGATAAAAGCAAAATTGTACTTGTTTCACTTCGATCAATAAACCTTCCCGGCTTTCCCATGATTAAACACAGCGTCATTTAAAGTGTACAAATCGAGTTTTACGGCTCGATAGTTTAAAAAAAAAACTTCGTGCGGTCGGGCTCAAGTCATGGAAAATTGATTTAAGTGAATCGTATTGTTATATAAGTTATTAAATTAAACTGTTTGTGTTTTTAAAACGTAATGATTTTTAACAGATATTTATCCCACAACAATACGATTTATTGTTGAAAAGTGGTTAATTTATCAAATATTCTTATTATTTTTTGTCTATGAGCTTATACGTCAATTTTCATAATTTTCAGAAAGTACTTAATTTGTAGAAACTTCAAGTAAGTAAGTGTTATGTGGTTACGACGGAAAATGTTCTGAGTTAGAAAAAAAGAGATTAAATTGATAAAGTGGAAATGAAGGACTATTTATTAGGAAGTGCACTAACGTGAAACAAATTCCTGTGACGATGCGGCGCGACGACTACCTGGAAGGCAAGCAGCCGTAAAGAGGCGTACATCCGCCGTTACGATGGCCACAATGTCGGACACTTTGAGCCCTAACGTTTCGGCCACCGAAGAAGAACATGCGCGGCGGCGATCTGTATTCTATGTGCCATTGTTTGAAAGTTTCGACAATTACCTGCCTCTCACACCTGAGGAAAAGGAAGCTCTAATATGCGGACAAAACATAGATGAAGTTCCTGTAAAACCTAAGAGAAGGAACGTGTCTGAAAGATTGCATATCTCATCGCGTGGAGATTCCTCGATGACGGAGAGTGAAGGTGAAGTAAACACATTTAGCCCTCAGCGACGACTTCGACGGCCTCTTTCGTCAACAATTAGCTCTAACGAGGCATTGGCAAGGATCGGCCAAAGAGACGTGACAAGCCCCAGAGTAATTGCCGAAAGTAGTCCTCCACGATACTCAAAACCGAGGCTACGGAGCACAACTTCATGTGAACCTCGTTATGACAGAGTATTTTCGCCCCTCGGGGGATCAATTTCTACGCACAAATTAAATAATTCAACTTCCAGCATCGGTAATAAGTTATCGTCAAAAAGCCCAATACGTAATTCTAATTTATCATTAATACCTGACTCTCCAAACATGCTCTCACCGAACAAAGAAAAATCAAAAACATTGCCGCAGCATCTTAACACTCCGTCGCCTATTCGAGGAAGCAGCAGTTCAACTTCGATATTTAAGACGCCGAGAATAACTGTCACGCCGGATAGTCCAAATAAGAGTCCGGGGAAAATATCTGGACTTAATTTCATTCGTCGATCTCGAAGCACAAAGCTGTCTAGAAGTAACTCTTTGTTGCGTAGCATAACTGCAAGACACATCGAAGAGGGTTTAGAAGATAATATAGCAGTAGTTACGGATCTTACTGAGGATTATGATCAGTTTGTGGATGATAATGGTGGACAGACTGAAGTTATAGGAGCTTTGATAAAGAAGAATGAGGCGCAGGTCGCAAACAGCCCTTTAAGCCTTCGGCGGGGATACCTGGATGTTGATGACGAAGTCGCTGTACATTCAGGTAATAAATTAGAAAACTTACTATGAAATAGGTATTTAAAACATTATATATGTATATACAATGACCGCAGAAGCGCAGCATTTTTATTGCAAAGTTACTGATTCAGCTGTACTTTGTTTCTTCTACATTCCTTGATAATTTTAATAGATCGTATTTACGGGAAATTATATTAGTAGCCAAGAGTTAGGCTACGGCGCTTTTGGCCGCGAATTTAAATCCAGCCCGGAAGAATTATTTGTAAGACTTAAAAATATTTGCTCCAGATCTGGATTTCTGTCCATGTGTAATTTATATATATATTGATCTTCTCCACGATACTGAAGAAATCATTTAGTAAACATTTTTGATTAAGTAATAAAGTATACTTTTTTTAAAGTTATTTAGCTAACCATATCAACAAAATTTTACATAACAGAGCCAAGCTACAGCTGTATTATTGCTGCAGCATAATTGCGTTGGCTCGATCGGGGAAGGACTATGCAATGCTGCAATATTCCGTATGGGGAGTGTAAATCGTAGAATCTTTTTACTGGTAATAATGCCTTCCATCTGAGGACTAGAACGTGACAAATATGCTCAACCAAGAGTTATAATGCTCTAAAATTAAAATGTACATAGCATTTTAAGTCTTAATCAAAGATAGATGGTGGTGCCTATGGACCACAGCATCCAATTAAATATATAACATACCTTTACATATGCAATATATTCTGTAAAAGCATATTTGAATTCTGTTCTTTTAGAATAGTCCATCCAGTGCTGACGACTAAACGGTTTCATAGTTTTTTTTGTTATCAAACTATTCATTTAGTAGACAATAACTGCTAATTGTACGACAAACAACGTACATGATATACTAATTTTTCTATAATGGTCGGTGTGTCAAGTGCAAAAGGCACCATTATTAATTTTACGTCGTAGAACCATAATTGCACAGAATAGTAGCGTGAATTAACAGAAAAATGCTCCTGTAAAGTTTGATGATTTACGAAAACTGAAACCATTTTCTTCTGGTAACGAGGCATTCGATATTTATATTTAACTGTGAATGCATTCTACAATTTGATTCTGAATCTAGCATAGATGTGGGTTTTATGGCCAAAGCATGTATGTTGAGTGTAAAGATCTGGAGACCCTTTTTACTGTAAATGAGGCATTCTATCTCAGTCCTCGGAGATAACAACGCGTCTATTTTGATTCTTAATTGAGGATGGAGGTAGATGTCTATGGGTCATACCATCCACTTAACATACGGTGGACTGTACGCTCGTTTGTCACCTTTTTTTCTGTAAACACTTTGTGTACTGTGAGTTGTAGCGTATTTTATGTCTTAAATAAAGCTCAAGCTTTCATGGTTAAATAGGTAGAAAAACGGTTTTAAACTTTCTTAACTTAGTAATAATTCAAACAAGGGTATTCACATAAATCTTTAATACCGTGCATGCTTGCTATACGAGGGCTACGACCAATGTTTATCATTCGCGAATCTTTTTTATGTACAAAAATTCTCGATATTATATTTTATACTATATCGTAAGTCATTGTTACCGTTATTTGCATAATATGTATTCGGAGCGCGACTACTTTGCTCCGTTGCTTAACTTACCAATCGGGTAAGAATTGGTTCAATTAACGGAATTTAATTGAGCCATATGATGTTATTATTTTAGGCATATTATAATTATTATTTTATTTTTATAGACTCATTGGCTATATTATTATATAGGTCATAAATTTACATAGAAAATTATTAAATTTAATTATGGATACAAGGAATTACTTCTTTGTTCAGTATTGAGAAACGTTCATTTTATTACACAGTAAAATAAAATTTGAACAGTGTTTATTATATAATTTTTAACATAAATATTAAAACAACGAGAAATTTTTACTGATTGTGTTCCGTTCTTATCTCGGCGTGGTGCACGCACTTCCTTGTGGGCGTTTATCAACGTAAGCGTTATCAATGTAAGGCATTTAACGAATGCTGCCCATATACTTGCATAGTATATGCGTTATTTTTTTTTTCTTGTACCGTACGGCACCAGTTTCAATGGGGTATGGAATTTCAGGGCTATTTTATAACACGAGCAATTGACAATCCATTATGTTAAAATACGCTTTTATTTATACTATTGTAATTACATTATGTTAGATAAGGTTGAATATTGAATGAGTTTTAATGAAATTGAAAATTATTAACTATTACTACTCAAAAAATGAAATTATTTTTTTGATTAGGAATAGTTAATAATTTTTTTTTAAATATAATGAGGATATTGACTTTCTTGTTTAAAAAGTTAGGTTACACAAAAATATTTATTGGTTTTATAGTTGACGCAGTAATTCACCACGTTTGAATTATATTACTAGATTTAGGTTAGATAGTATTTGTTTTCCTTTACTCCCTTTAGTATTTAGTAGTCATCATTAATTTTTTATTCATTACAGTCCATTGAAAGTCCACTGATGAACATAAGCCTCCTTCATAGATTAGAAAGGATGTTGTCACAGCACAGTTATTATTGAGTTGTTATCGGGAAGATGTTGCTGCCCATCTTTTTCTTTTTGTCTCTTTTGCCTTCTATGACACCCACGGGATGATATGGAGTAGTATGGGTGTTCCTACGACGCAACTATATGCACATTATATACTTGTATATACTTTTTTATAAGAACACACTTTTTTATAGAATAGGAGTGACAAACGAGCATACGGTCCACGTGATAGTGTGTGGATGCTGTGACCCAAATACACCTACCTACCTGACATCTACTTCAATTAAGAATCAAAATGCAGATGCGTTGTCACCATTATGTACTAAGATGGAATGTTTCGTTTCCAGTAAAAACGGTCTCCTTATAGATTTCCTGCATCGGAAACGAGCTTGCTATAATTATTTCTTTATGACTCACTTTTACCGGGCAGTATAACAGTTTATTGGTTTACGTTTTAGGTCAGTTACTTATATAGGGGTGCAACCGTGCAGCCGTAGGTTACAACCTAAAGGCGTTGTCTTTTAAAGATATTGTTTGAGTATTGGGCATGTTATTTTCTTTAAAAATAAATTTAACGCATTTGTACATCCCACTGCTGGGCACAGCCGGCCTCGCATCTCTGAGAGGTTATGGAGCAATTAGTCGCCCGCTCCGTGCTGCTTTAATTCGTGTTGGCAGACTTCAGATTTTTTTTATATAGAATACGGTGACAATCGAGCACACAGTCCACCTGATGGTAAGTGGATGCTGTGGCCCATAGACATCTACATTTATCCTCAATTAAGAATCAAAATGTAGATGCGTTGTCACCCCTGAAGACTAATATGGAATGCCTCTTTTCCAGTAAAAAGGGTCTCTCTACACTCACACGAAACAGCAGCGTAAAATATCATGGAGCTGCTATTTTACGCGGATGTTCTATGAGAGCGTGGTCCTACCCCGGTCGAATCGACCCATTCGTACTACAACCATAATATAGCTGCAGCGTGGCTCTACCACGTATAACCATTTAACTTCATCGCCAAGCACGTAGTAAATCAGCACTTAGAATTGCAATCAACAATTTTATAGAGGCCGGCGGGTATCGGACCTGGATTGCCCGTTGCGTACTATGTTCTTTTGTTTATTTTTAAAAATTATTTATAGTTTATAAATATTTGAAAAAGGAAATTATCTTCGCGTCTTATGCGAGCAAAGAACTTCGATAAAAATGATCAATTCTGTTTAAAAAAAAAACCCGAAATGTATAAATGGTGTCTTACGTTTTAATGTTCACTATACGACTGATATTGCTTCAGTAATGATCCATTAACGCTAATGTACTAATTAGACTCTTAACGAACGTATATCAGCAACGATGTACAGCTATATATACCAGATGTAAGGGCGCGAACGCGTTGAGTGACAGGAACGATGCTTGCTTTCTCGGTCGGGTGTAGCTATAAGTCAAAGTACGCGACAGTGTAGCAGGCATCCCACACTCCCACATAACGAACGCAATAACGGTAATGGGTCCGAAAGAACATCTGTTGCTTTCGCATGTCGCGCCATAGTCACACCATATTATTAATATTTAACTTTAGTTTATTTGAAGTCTTTTCTTTGTAAACCATGCTCGATCTTACAATTTCGCACCAAGTAGACAAATAACTGCCGTGTTGTGGCATCGTAAGACAATTCAACATCTTTATTTTAGAAACATAACAAATAATATTACATAAAATACAACACAAACAAATGAAATTAAAACATAAATACTTCTAATTAACATAATAAATAAATTAAAGAAAAAAGTGTTATACAAAATTATACGGTATGTAAAGCTTAATTTAAGTAAAAAATACTTGCTAAATCTAAAATTCATGGTGCGCAGTGGCTTAGCAATTGAGTTGCAGCGCTAAGGGCCGTGGGTTTGAATCCCGCACGGATTAAGAATTTGTATGGCCTACAAATAATTGTTACAGGTCTGGATGTTTGTCTTTGTGCAATTTATGTTTGTAAACTGCCCTTACGATACAGGAGAAAATCCTAGAGTGGATTACGTTTTTCAATATAAAAAAGAAAAAAAATTGCGGTATAACCGTCTTGTTCGATCTTAAATACCCGGATCGATACTCAATCCGCTTGTCGTTAAGACAAATAATCCCTTTATCTAACGGGAGAGGCCCATGTCTAACTCTGGTCTTAACTTGTCATAAATTAAAATTAGCGAAATAGTATATATAGGTTTATAAATATATATAGGTAATCTGTGGGGAAAGTCTATGTTCAGCCGTGGACTTTGAAAGGCTTTCATAATGATAATGCAAACAAATATGTATGTCTATATTATCTATTTGTGCAATTTTCTCTTTTGTTGAATCTACATTTTACATACATTTTTTGTATGTAAATGTACATAAAATATATTATGTTTATGTTTGTTAAATTATATATTTGTGAATTGGATCAAAGTGCACACTAAAGCACGACCACACACGGTCAGTTAAACTGATCAGTTGAACCGACGTACATCCAAAAACTGACCGTGTGTGGCATGCTAAAAGAAATAGCAAAAGAAATAAGCGGTGACTTTGTAAAAGTAATTCTTTTTTGTTTTCGTATACATTTTATGCATGTACAAAAACTGCTAAATGATATAAATAAATAATACCACTTCTGATATGAATCTATCGAAAGTTTGTATTTTAATGGTTTGTGGCAGTAATCTATGGTTTTTAGAATAATTTACTCTATTTCGTGTCAAACTCAATCACTGCGTTCAAACGTAATCGTTAACTATGATAGCCAAACATTGCGTGTTTTCTGATCTGTATCTATGCTAATATATAGGATGAAAATTCAAATAGGTCTATAAGTTTGAATAAGTTATGTTGCTAAGGTGATGCTATATGAAAACAAAAAAAAATTTCAAATAATAAAATTTTTGTTTTTCTTCGTACATATTTTAACTTTAGAAGATACGAGAACTCGGGGGAAACTATTGTAAAAATAACACAGAACAATATATGGAATAATATATCTAAATAATAATTATAAAGATTTCTTGTTAGTTTCACGGTTTGGAACGAAGTTCTTTATCGGACGGTACGGATTTGGCGGATGGGGGCTAGGCGACTAAAAGTGTATGATTTTTCCGTCAAGAACCCTTCTGACGTAATGTAGACCATAGACGTAGAACATACTGGCGTACCAATAAACTTAGAATATACTAGGCACAGACGTACCTAAATCTATGATGTAGACGGCCTTTGCGGCTATAAGGAAGCGCGATGGAATAATATCCATCTCCCTCGCACTTTTTCATATCTTGCCATGAAAGAAATATTATTTATTAACTGACGCTTCATTTTAATAGACACTAGTACCTAATTCATGTATTTGTTAATCAATAATATAATACATTTATCATAATTATGAAATAAAAATTGAATAATTTATTAAAGGAACTTTAATAAATTATTCAATTTTTATTCAATTCATTATCATATTCATATCATATCATATTCAATTTTAACGTTATGTAATATTATATAAATGCTTAAGTTTTTTAAAGCTATGAATTACTCGACCTGCCTGAGGAGTTTTATTTCAAACCCTTTATCCAATCTGCTTGCATTTCTTGATATATATATATATATATATATATATATATATATATATATATATATATATATATATATATATATATATATATGAAATTGCAATATTTTTACGTAATATTACAATATTATTATATTATTATTTTAAATTAGATTTTAAACAGTGGTAGAGCCACGCGGGGCAGCTTTTGCTGTCGCACGGATGGCCCGGCTCGAACCGGGGTGGTGCCACGACCTCACAGAAAACCAACGTGAAGTAGAGGTTTACCTCTGCATTTCGCTTGGTGAGTGCAGGTGGCCGGAGGCCCTTTTTACTGGAAATGAGGCATTTCATCTTAGTCCTCACGGGTAACAACGCATCTACATTTTGATTTGTAATAGAGGATAGATGTGGACCGCAGCAACCACTTACCATCAGGTGGACTGTGTGCTCGTTTGTCACCCTTATCCTATAAAAAAAATAATAGAACCGTGGTAGCTCAGGGGTCAAGCGCTTGCCGTAAATTTTACAGAACGCGAACAGCCACAGTTCGATCCGCCAATGAAATTGTTAATTACAATTTAAAGTGCTGAATTACCACAGTTACCGTTACAGCCTATCAAAAGTTACCTGCTGAACATAGGCCTCCCCCATGGATTGACTCATAGGGGGTACATTTGCCATAGTTACTACGCTTGGCAGGCGGGTGAGGCAACCGCAGTTTTTTTTTAGTTATTATGAGGAAGACGCTGCTGTCCATCTCCTGGTTTGGTTCCCTCTGTCGCTTTTTACGACACCCTCGGGACGATACAGGTTAGTGGATATTCTTACACCGCCACTACCACGCCGTGTATACTCTGCCAACACGCATTGGTGGCAGCGCGGCCGACACTTGCTCTGAAACCCCTCTCAGAAATGAGACAACGCCTGTGCCCAGCAGTATGATGTTTAGACTGGAACTTAATGATCAACGATTAAACTTACGACAAATATGAGACATTGAATAAAGCGAAATTTTATGACTCGTCATGAAATTTCACATATTACAATGAAAAGAGTTCATTAAATTACTCAGCTTGAATTCAAACGATGAATCGAAAATCTATGACTCGTCAGTAATTCCAGTCATGTTAATTTCACACATTTCTAACAACTCCTTATTTAAAAAGTTCATTAAATTACCCGGTTGTTGAATCAACATTTACTAGAAAATCGTAATTGAAACATAAAAACGATTTTTGCGAATTCGTTTCTAATATGTCCTAGTATATATACACATTATTAATTAATGTTATTATAAGAAATATAAAAAATTTGGTCAAATGCAGCGTCTAGAGTCGACACAATAAAACCATTATCTTTGTACATCGGAACAAGGATTCATTACGCGACTTGGTGCGTCAGTAAAAGAACTATGAAAGAAATTAATTTTCTCTAGGTGTTAGGAGTTTTATTCTACCTATGAGTACGTCTGTACCTTCCTTATTTCATTAATATGTCAAATATGGGTATTGAGCTAGTATAACAGGCTATGAGGAATCCTACCTTAGCCCTCAGAGGTGACAACGTATCTGTAGCCATCTTTGTGTAAAGTTAAATCAGTAGCCGTCACTTACCATCAGCTGGGCTGTACGTTCGTTTGTCATTCCAGTTTTATAAATAAATACCTTTAACATTTTTGTATGACCATATGGCCCTCGTGTCTATAATACCGTGCGTCGGCACCGTAAGAGAATCCATGACCTTATTTCGTCTCGTAGGTGTCGTAAGAGGCTATTATAGAAACAACCAGAAAATTCTCATAATTTGTCTATACGTGACGGATTAAATATCCAGTTTACGCCAGTCGTAAAATACCCAAAAATACGGGGAGAAGCGTTTCTTGTGAGACGATTTGATTTGATGTGATAGATTTTATAAATTAACTATTTTTTATAATTTATTGATATTTAGATTATAAATTAACCATTTTTTATATAATTAAGATTGATTATAAGGGTGCCAACGATGGCAAATATTAGGCAGACAATCTATGGGGGAGGCCTTTGTTCAGCAGTGGGCTTTAATAGGCTATGTAGGCAACGTTAACGGTGAGATTAATTATTCACGTTTTTGTTACATTAAAAGTGTAACGTTCTGTTTTTACAAAACTTTCAAGGCTGATATATATTTCATGCCGCATGCGCAACGGTCATGGGCAGCGTGCGCGCAACTTCCGCCGGAAACCACGCCAAACACTGCTGCATCGACAATTACAGAATCTAATTCATTATATAGCGATGATGAGAAATGTGAAATCGATGTAACAATTTATTATATTTCTCTACAATATGTATTTGATTAAATTATAATTTGTGATCGGACAGTTTTATTAATATTACTTTTTAAGAAATTAGGTAGGTAAATGCCATTTATTCAAAATCATAAGTTCTGTATAGTTTTTAATAAACCAAAAAATATAGACGTGTAGGTTTCTTTTTAATTATACAAAAGAGATTTACTATCGTTCATACTTAAGTTTTAAAAACATTTACTTAATATCAACTGCAACCAATCACTTAAATCCATTGAACTTTTATTCCGTCTTTTTGTCAACGTTATAAAAATACCCAGATAAAAGCAATGACTATTGCTATAATAATTTAATAATACACAAATTGAAATAATCCAGTAAAACTGCCCTTATACGTCATTAACCTAAATACACTGGTTTACCGACAATGAGTCCTACGCGTTAATGCCGAGAATTGGTATTATTTCTAACCGCATGATTGCTTCGATCATTTTACAAGGTCTGCTTAAATCAGTCGCTATTGAGCACTTTAAAGCAATGGTGGTTATGAGAGTGCTCTTTAATATATGGTCTTGTCTAGGTAATTTGATTCCTACTGCTTAGTAACCGAGTTTGAATGGCTACCTTAAATGTTTAAAATGTCGTAAAGTGCAACAATTGATATAGAACTAAAAATTGTTGGTGTTAATTGTCACTGTGTTAGTGGTGCTGAATGTCATACAGTTAGTTTTTGTTATTCATCAACATCATCATCATTACAGCTCTTCAGTTTTTGTTATTATAAAAATTTAAATTTATATCTAGATGTTTAATAGTACCTACATAATAGTTATCGTTGTTGGTAGAATTTTGTGTCAGTATTATTATGGGTTCAGAATAAAAACTTTATAGTTTCTTTCTTCTTTTACAGATACATCTTACGAAAAAGCATGTCGGCGAGGTTCCGCACCGAGTACGCCGGTGCCGGGTGCGCAAGCCCAGCACAGCCCTTCAAGACTTGCCTCTTTCTTCTTCTCGAAGCGCTCATTCAGGAGCAATCCGCTCAAAAGGACCAAGTCTGCTACAAAATTGGAGAGGGAACGAGCACTGGCTGCCGTTCCCACTCACCCTCCAACACACGCCTTGCGGACGTCAAGGTAAAAAGAACTTCATTAGCATTTTGCAATTTTTCAACCGACTTCAAAAAAAGGAGAAGGTTCTCAATTCGACTGAATTTTTTTTGTGTGTTACCTCATAACTTTTTTTAAGTAAACCGATTTTGATGATTCTTTTTTATTTGAAGGCTGGTGCTTCTCATGTGGTCTCATAAATTGCATCGAGATCTGATCAGTAGTTTTTGAGTTATACTTAATAGACTTCGACTAAATTGATGATGTTCTCATTTTATTTATATTGAAGTCGGTTGTACAAATTTTTAATTTTACCACTTGTTAAGTAATAATTTACAAAACTTTCTAAACTATATCATCATTATTACAGCCATTCACAAGACCAATGCTGAACATAGACCTCTCCCAAGAAATGCCAACAACGATCCTGAGCTAACCTACACCCATCGACTTTATACCTACCATAGAATATATGTTATTGTTAAAAAAAATAGGTGAATTGTAATTGGTCAGGCAAAGAATTCCAACGCCTCGCTGTCTGAAGCACGTTAACAACGTAAAGATGAAATCTTATTGTTCTAAACAGTTTTAACTCAATTAATAGCAACATTCTGTGTAATCTAATATATAAACATTAATTTTTGTTTGTTCGTATTTTATGCGCTGCCATACCGTTTATCAGATTGCGCTAAAATTTTCTCAACTTATTGCTTGTACTTGCGCAAAGGTTATAGGCATTTACACAATTAAACTACAATAGGTGGGGCGCATATCGTACCGACATATTTATTTGAAAGTCATAATATGTCATTCAATTTCAATGAATATATTATAATTCTTCCAAATTTAAAACGAAATTTCCACAAATATTTTATCTGCGGTTGCAACGCTCCGGGTATCAGCTAATTTATAATAAAACAAAATAAGTTCATTTGTCCACGTTTCGTGACCGAACGAAATTATCTTGATCAAGTGTTGTAACTATGTCTAGGAGTGTCACCGTCCGACGCCTCGCCTATTAACGTTGTTTACTAAACCCTCATTAGTTAAATGTATTCCAGCACTCCTGACATGATATAACTTACCTGTGATACCTTTATTACCTGAAAACTAATTAGACACGGTGCGAAAAAGACAAAAGAGGTGTAAGCTCGTTGGTTAAGTTTAGGTCGTTTTATTTAAATAGGGTAGAGGGCTTACGTTAATAACCTTTTAATTAGCGTTAAGTTATGCATGAATCGTTTATAACGCCAATAGATTTATTTTAAGATAAAGGTTATTGGAACATAAAGTTTAACTTAAATCATTACTTTTTCTAACGATTCTCCCAAAACTTTTTACTTGTTCCATCAGCAAATATGTTTTTCATTTACTTATTTTTTATTCTATAAAGGTCAAAATTACGTTATAGTACAAAGTTAAATTCACTCAAATAATGCCGACAGATGTTGCAAGCTAAAATTGTAATGTTAGCCGTGCAGTAATGGTGTAAAAGGATCCACTAACCCGGATGAGTTAGAGGCGGGCGCGTGGCGTGTGCGAGGCGTGTGCGGTTGAACGTCGATAAATGCAATTTCAGATTTATCGATTTGTCATATGCAACGAATTACAAAGCGAGTTAGACGCGGGTGCTGACACGCGTGGCGTGCGCGTAGCTGGTGCATGTCGTCGGAATGCGCCCTTAGGCAATTTATAGGGGAGGCCTATGTTCTGCTATGAACTTTTGAAAGGGCTGTAACAAATAATGAATGAAAATATAAACTGTAAGAGTGGATTTTTAATACGTTCCAGTTACTTAACAACTAAGAATATTTGTCGGCAAAAACATTTCTTTAGAGACTAGAGGTAGTTAGTTACTCTCTTCATCAGCCTGTACCAGAAAACAAAGAACGTGAGCCTCTTCCACAATAGCAAGGATTTCACATAATCGTCACGCTTGTCAAGCGAATTTTCTATTATCGTACCACCATCACACGGCTAGCTTTTAAAATTAAAAATCCTTAATATTTTCCTTCTTATGATTACTAAAAAACAATAAAATATAGGTAATGTCTTTGTAATAAATAACTTGTTCTTTCAGATCTCATGAAAGCCTTCTATCAGCACACTCGCCAGCCGTATCTACAATGGATTTGGGACCACCTAATCAAGTAAGTATTAATAGTAAGCTTAATAACAAGCAACATACGTAGAAAATGGGAAATGTCTCAAATGCCGACAAATATAGAAAACTGCGGAGCAGTGTTTCAATTTTATGTCTGTTAGTGATCGAGTAGGCGTCGCTCGGTTCGCAGAGCACTCCTCTCCCTTGACATCCACAAGTCGAGTGGGGCTGACGGGATCCCCCCAATTGTGCTGAGGACGTGTGCTCCGGAGTTGGCACCGGTTCTAACGCGTCTTTTCCGGTACTCCTACTCCCTAGGCGTAGTCCCGAAATCATGGAAGACAGCTTTTGTCCACCCGATCCCTAAAAAAGGCGACCGCACAGACCCGTCCAACTACAGGCCTGTCGCCATCACCTCCTTGTTCTCCAAAATAATGGAATCCATTATTAACTGCCAGCTCATGCGGTACCTTGAGGATCACCAGCTGATTAGTGACCGCCAATACGGTTTTCGTGGGGGTTGATCAGCTGGTGATCTTCTGGTCTACCTAACTCATAGATGGGCGGAGGCAGTAGAGTCCAATGGGGAGGCGTTGGCCGTTAGTTTTTGACATTGCGAACGCATTCGATCGGGTTTGACACAAAGCGCTTCTTTCGAAGCTCCCTTCCTATGGGCTTCCCGAGAAATTGTGCAGATCGGGGCATCAAGATCGTTGTAGATGTTGCATGCTCCGACTACAAGCCTATTAACCCTGGTGTTCCACAAGGCTGTGTGCTTTCACCAACGCCTTTTCTTCTGCATATCAATGATATGTTGCTAACTGGTAACATTCATTGCTATGCGGATGACAGCACTGGTGATGCTCTATATACCGGCCGTGCCAATATTTCTCGAGAAAACGTCGCCGAGTACCGGAACAAACTTGTCTCTGAAGTCGAGTCTTTGCTGAACAAGGTCTCGCATTGGGGGCGACTAAATCTAATCCAGTTTAATCCTCAGAAGGCACAAGTTTGCGCGTTTACCGCTAAAAAGAACCCCTTTGTCGTATCTCCTCAGTTTCAAGGCGTTTCAAGGCACTCCCCTTCTTGCCTCAGCCAGTATCGGAATCCTCGGAGTCGACATATCGAGTGACGTGCAATTTCGTGGTCATTTGGAAGAGAAGGCCAAATTGGCCTCTAAAAAGCTTGGCGTGCTCAGCAGAGCGGGACAGTATTTCATGCCGGCACACCGCCTGCAACTTTACAAGACGTAGGTTCGGCCTCACATGGAATACTGTTCCCATCTCTTGGCAGGGGCTCCCCAGTGCCAGCTCCTTCCACTTGACCGCATCCAGCGCAGGGCGGCTCGAATCGTCGACGACTGAGTCCTTTTCCGATCGTCTCGATTTATTGGCACTGCAAAGAGATATTGCATCCCTTTTTTTATTTTCTTTCGCATTTACCACGGGGAGTGCTCTGAGGAATTGTTCGGATTAATCCCAGCCGCCAAATTTCACGAACGCACATCGCGGCAGAACTCCCGATATCATCCACACCATCTGGATGATTGGCGGTCCACCACTGTGCGATTTAGAAGATGTTTTCTTCCTCGCACGACTTCCTTGTGGAATCGATTACCATCAGCGATTTTTCCGGACCGATACGACTTAGAGACCTTCAAGAAAAGAGCCTACTCCTTTTTAAAAGGCCGACAACGCATTTGCAATTCCCCTGGTTCCCCTGGTGTTGCAGTTGTTCATGGACGGCGGTAGTCACTTACCATCAGGTGATCCGCATGCGCGTTTACCCCCTCTCCTATAAAAAAAGAGTAAATTAAAATTAAAGTTACATCCTATATACGTCCCACTGCTGGGCACAGGTCTACTGTCATTTCTGAGAGGGTTTTAGAGCAAGGAAATGTCCGCCGCGCTGTTCCAATGCATAATGGCAAACTTCACATGTCTTCAAAATATTATTTTTTTTCGTATTAATGTTTTCCTTCACCGCCGAGTACTTACTGATAAATTTACAGCGAGCGCTTAACCCCTGAGCTACCACGGCACTTATTATATAATTACAATATGTTAGTTTAGCGCCACAATCACAAAATCTGGAAATGTGTAACCGCTGTGGTTTAGTGATTAATAACTTTTATATTTACACTGTAAAAAGTCCGGAGTCGATTCGGAATGAAACTCATTGTGACACCTAGGTTTTTTATAGGATAAGGGTGACAAACGAGCACACAGTCCACCTGATGGTAAGTGGTTGCTGCGGCCCATAGACATCTACATCTATCCTCTGTTACAAATCAAAATGTAGATGCGTAGTCACCCGTGAGGACTAAGATGGAATGCCTCATTTCCAGTAAAAAAGGCCTCCGGCCACCTGCACTCACCAAGCGAAACGCAGAGGTAAACCTCTACTGCACGCTGGTTTTCTGTGAGGTCGTGGTACTACCCCGGTTCGAGCCGGCCCATCCGTGCGACAGAAAAAGCTGCCTCGTGGCTCTACCACTGTTACCGGAAAAGGTTTAACGTCTGCCTAGCCAGCTCATACTATATTGAATGCTTTTACGTTTTATTATATTTAAGAAAGCATGACATTTAAATAATCACTTTTACAACAATCATTATGGAAATGTTATTCTTTTATATTGTTGAATTTTTTATATATTAAAACGTGATGATTGATATACTCTTTATCCTTGATGTTTTTGATGATTATATTGCTTATAATTGACATTTATTTACACTTTTAAACTCAGTTCAAAAATAAGAATGTAACTCCTGGACTCGTGGACGTAATGTAATTATATTCTACACGTATGTTCTTTTATCTATCTTCATGTCCACAGATTTTTCAAAAACGACTGGACTGAAAAATAAAGTGCGTCCTCTATCGCCTTACATATAACTTGTTGACGTAAATTACTTAATGCATCTGTGCACTGTCCCTTGATACAATTTCGATTTTTCGAGCTCTTAATACTTAATTTAAAATATTTTGCAGGTAGAAATCCGCGCTTTGCATTCGTCAGTACTAGGGCGACCGCACTGTTTCGCGCTGAGCGCAGAGAACAGGGCGCCGCGATACTTTGCCTGCGCCTCGAGGAAAGAACGTGACCGATGGATATACAGGTGAGTTTGCATGCCGCCCTAGTAACCTCTATTTTATGTAAACATTTTTTTTCTTCAAGTGTATACAAATGTAGTGCAGTTTTAAATTAGACGATCTCTCCTTATATTTATTCACATACTTTTCAGACGACATTTTTTTTCTATTTTTCTAGTGCGGTAGTACCTCTGTGAACATAAGCAAATGAATTTTTTTAATAGTATAGAGTGACAAACGAGCACACAGTCCACCTGATGGTAAGTGGTTGCTGTGGCCCATAAACATCTACATTTACCCTCGTTTGCGAATCAAAATGCAGATGCGTCGCCACCCGTGAGGACTAAGATGGAATGCCTCGTTTCCAGTAAAAATGGTCTCCGGTTCTCTACACTCACCATGCGAAACACAGCAGCGTTAAGCTGCTATTTTACACTGGTATTCTGTGAGAGCGTGGTCCTTCCCCGGTCGAGCTGACTCACTCGTGCTACAACTATACTACTAATATAGCTGCAGCACGGCTCTACCACGTATAAATGTTACTAATTTAAAATATTAATATTAATATGACATACGACCTACGACGGCGCCATAAAACAATCCATCGCCAATTATTCTTGTAAGTTTTGTACATAATTGCTATGGGAACCGTGTAGTGGTGGTGTAAGAATATCCACTACTTCATATCGTCCCGAGGTTGTCGTAAGAGACGACAAATAGAAAATCAAACAGGGGCACGATAACAACTCAAAGCAATAAAAAACTACGGTTACCAACCTGCTCGCCAAGCGTGTCAACTATGCCCAAAATCCCCCCATGAGGCAATCTATGAGGAAGGCCTATATGTTCAGCAGTGGATTTTTATAGGCTGTAATGGGTGAAATGGTTCGATGGCTATGGGAAATGATTATGAAAATCTTTTAACATTCGCTTGGTGGCGGCAAAATCATTGCAAAATTGTTCTTGGTTAGTGAGTGCTAGTAGCGTCAACGGTACAAGGTATCTGATACTGGGATCGACGCCTATCCTGCTGTCAATCGTGGCGATTACGACCAATACTTCAAACTTGAACAAGGCCTACTTTAAAGGATGGACTACTTAGGCTCATGATGAAAATAATGCTGTATCAACTAAATTAAACTACTACTGAGTTGAGTCAGGAAGGGCCGTTAATATTATAGTACGTGAGTAACCGAAATTAGATCACCGTTACGCCCCGCAACAAAATATTGTTTAATTATTTTTTGCTTCGGTGGTGAAGGAAACCGTCGTGAGGAAACCTGCACGTATGAGAAAATATTTCTAGGACATGTGGACTCCGCCATGACGAACTGGGTAGGTTCGTCATGGCGGAGTCCTACTGCTCCAGCAGTAGGACGTAGGCTGTTACTAATTTTTAAAGTGTTAATTTTTTTTGATTTTGAGGTGGACACCTATGTCAAAGTTTCTCCTATATAGTACAATAACAATTCGAACTGTTACATTTAGTGTTCTTTTCAATCTGTATGCAACCTTTAATATTTAAGCACGAATAAAGAAATGCATATTGAATTTCTTGTCACATCATTTCGTGCCAAATATTCGCATGAATACACACAACATACAATGTAATATGTAATTTTCCGCAGTTTAAGGCAAGCGGCGAGACCGGACGAAATGCGCACTCGGCGATGTGAACGCACCGTCAAACTGTGGCTACTCGAGGCGAAGGCTATACCGCCAAAGAAAAGATACTACTGTGAAATACTACTGGACGATACGCTTTATGCAAGGTATTAGTTACGTATATATGCTATTTTTTTACTATTCAAGTTACTTTTTCATGGAATATTGAATAATGGGATTGTATAGTAACAACATGCGCGTGTTAGGGTTCACTGTTATACAGAACCCTAAAGGTTTCCACTACTACATCTTATGCTTTGAACGTATAAGACACAAAAAAGATACGGTTATGTGTATCAACAATCATACCCGTATACTATGCGTTTATAGTATCACCCCCGTTCAATACGTGTTCGACTATTCGGTTGTAGCTCATTTTGTTCAGAAGAACGCGCCAGGAGAAGCTTAGTGTACAGGTTGTGGTGAATATTATTTACATTTAAATAGCTATACGGTGACTATAACAAAATTATCTGTAAGAGAATTAGCAATGGTTGCTATTATTCTGGGCAACGATAAGCGTTGGCCAGATTTTTTTGCGGTTTGGTTGACTACGCAGAGCAGCTTCGTTAAGTTGTCGAATTCGCTGTCGGTCTAGTCTTGCCACGCTACGGTGTTGATCGGTGACGGAACGGCCATCTGGGCGTTCAGTCATCATCATCAGCCTGCGGCAGTCTCCTGCTGAACAAAGGTCTCTTCCAAGACGACACCTAGTGGGCGTTGTTATCTATTGTGGCCAAAACGGCTACGGTCATGATATGGAAAGTTGTATTGGCTATTGTGTCATATAATCGTAGTTTATGTTTTGATCGAATTAGTTGCAACAATAAAGGTCTTTCGATTATATAATATATTCTCAATCGTAAGATATGCTAATATATATATATATATATATATGTGTGTGTGTGTGTGTGTGTGTGTGTGTGTGTGTTTTATGTATGTCTCCCGTATGTAAAAAGTTATGATTATAATGTTCGACTCTTTATTGTGAGTTTCCTTTTCTGCTTATTTCTGTCGTCTAGCAGCAGTGTGTGCACTATTTTGTAACAGTCTGAAAGGTATAGAAAGCCAGTACAATTACAGACTGTGAGACATACCATCTTATTCGTTATAGGTAACAACACATCTGTAAGTTTCTTTATTTTAATCTGGTGCCGATGTCCATGAGCTACTAGTAGCCACTTACCACCAGATGGAATGTAAGTTTGTTTGTCATTTCGATTTTACGAAAAAATATCGAGTTGTGTGTTATTAGGTCTGAAAGTCTCACTGAATAAACTGGTACTGAAAATGTTCGATTAAAATTATGACAAACAATGTAGCATAAGAGCTATAAAATATTAGAGATAATATGCAGAACAGAAACGTGCCATACAAATGTCCCAACACTGATTAGGCCATAATTTATATTTACATCTGATAAATTCCAATTTTTAGGTCGGTAATACCATTACAATAATAACTTACATTAGTATTGCAGTATGGGCTCGGATACGGTCGGTTTACCAATATGCCACGGTCTAGATTAATGGGCTAGAAGACTTTAGTTTCAACTATTACGCAAATCTACCTTTTGTAAATATTAGTAATTAAGTAGTTTTCTATATTTGATCATTGGCATAAAACTTTGTTACGCGGTCTGAACTTATTTCAATAAGAGAGACAAAGCGATGCTGTAGCCCATAGAACCTACATCTGTCATCAATTGAGAATCAAAATAAGTTCTCGCTCTCACCTCTGAAGAGTGAAAAATGAGATAAAATGCTTCATTGCCTGTGAAAGGAGGTCTTCAGTTCTAATCACTTACCTAATAAAATATTATGGTGCTACTTTTGCTGGTATTCTATAGTGTAAATCCTTCATTGATCGAATCGACCATTCGTGTGCTGCAGCTATAAAATATATAAGTTTGTGTAAATTATCTTTTTCTTTTCTCTGGCTTTTATTTCTTATCTTTTAGGGTTAGCCTTTTTCGTTCGTTTATGCCATATAATGCTTTCTTACCCTTCTCGGCATCAACGTCTATTAGGTCGCTAGTGATAGTTTGTTTACAATTCCCATTTAGTTATTCTCATTGCACCTCTTGTCGTGTAGTCTTTCGTTTTATCATAAAAGGCAATTTTCGAGAATTTATTTTCAATATATAGCGTCCACAAAGGTTTTTCGTATACGCTTCTACCTGCTGGACTGATATCACTTATATTTGACACTGTAAAAGTCTTTCAATAGGTAAATTTAAATGAACCAATTGTGCTCTCAATTATTGCAATATAGTTAGTAGTCCCGACATATGATCGAATACTTTCGAGTTCAATAAAAATCGAATGGAGGTCCTTCTTGTACGTTTGATGTTTCTCTCTAAGTATCTTTTCTCTTGTAAAATAATATTTAAGGTTGACATTTAGATGTTAAATGTAGTAAAATTTGTACAAAACATTATTTTGTATATATGTCATGTTTAAAATAATTGATATCGATCTCCACTAGTAACAATAAAAATTTTTGTTGTAATTTGTATTATCTAAGAATTTAAAAAAAATACGAGGATATGTGATGTGCTTGCCACGCATTGAAATAACCTGGTGGACTCTTCTCTGAAACCCTCTCAGAAATGAAACAGAGGGGCATGTGCTTAGAATTTGAACATTGAAATTGATTCTTTATTGCGTTGTATAATGGATAGGTGACGCCGAGGTTAAAATTGGAGTACATATACTAGAATGTTTTTATATTGTGTATTTAGATCTTCGTCAAAGTTAAAAACGGAGCTGTGCTTCTGGGGCGAGGTGTACGAGTTCGGCGCGCTGCCGGCCGTGCGCAACATACACGTGAACGTGTACCGCGAGCCCGAGCGACGCGCGCGCAAGCGGGACAAGCACGCTCTCGTCGGTGAGGCATTTAAAATATAAACTTAATATTTAGAAAAAAAAAGTTATCCCTACACTAGGATTTTCTCCTGTATAGTGAAGGGATAAAATTTACATACCAAAACTGCACGCGCAACTATATTTACGCGAACACTACACATTGAATAAAACTATTTTTACGGATTTTATCGCGTTTAATTTACTTATTTAATCCCCGACGTTTCCTGTGCTTTAAAGCAACCCATAGTCATGGTCTTACATAGGAAAAACAAAAAGATCCATTAAAACTCGCGTGAAAGAGCATATAGCTGACGCGAGGCACCGACGCTCTGGGAATTCTGCAGTCTGTGAACATGTTCAAGATCGTCCCTGCCATTACATCAAATTTGATAGACCATAAATCCTCGCAAAAGAACACCCATTCCAACCAAGGATGATACGCGAGGCTATTGAAATTAAGAAACATCCTAATTTCAAGCTGCTATCTGCTTGGGATCCTATAATTAACAAAATTTGATCCAAACCCAAGCATACAATTGGAAGATTTCAAGATACTGTAAGCTCATTCTGTGTAGAAAAACTAAAGCTAGCCGAGCTAACTGTAACATCGGGACATCTTATCAACATCTTAGTCATTATCGTCGTCCGTCCGTCCCCGTCCTCCCCCCCCCCCCCCTCGTGACCGGGGGTTGCTGTAAAGCACCCGAAACGTCGGGAATAGAGTAGAGTAAATTAAACGCGATAAAATCCGTAGAAATAGCTTTATTCATTGTTTAGCCGTTAAGGACGACAAATTGTTTTCACTCTTTGATGCTGTTCCCCGCCGGTGGTTTGTTTATTTTACGTCAAACGTAAACATGATGGTTATACTGCCATCTATCGGAAACCGTGAGATAACTTTAGCATTTCCCATAGCCGCGTCTGACGACACCCACGGGACGAAATATGGTGGAATATATACTTATGCCGCCCCATCCGGCAATACATGTACTAATAATGTGTTACTAAATAAAGGTTATTTTTTTATTAATATTGGTGTAAACTATCCAATTGTGTTAGGGTCGGTTCGTATCCCGGTGGACGACGTGTCGTCGCGCTACCTGAACGAGCGCTGGTACCCGCTGAGCGAGGACAAGCCGCAGTCGCCGGCGGCCGCGCTGCGCATCAAGTGCCGCTACCAGTGCGTGGACGTGCTGCCGCTCGACTGCTATGCGCGCTTCCTCGACTACCTCAAGCGCAACTACCGCCGCCTCTGCGAGTACCTCGAGCCCGTCATCGGTCAGTTTTCTATTATTTTTTGTTAGGTAATAGACTCGTGTAGTTTTACTTTTTCCAGTGTCAATGAATAAGAAAATTATCTTATATAATAATTTGTTTAATACCTTCACAATATGTTCATGAAGTTTTTGGGAGATTTTGATGGCAGGTTAATCCAACAGGCAATCGATGACGACAATATCTTAAGGACCCTACACACTTCATAATATTATCTTAAGGTTCATATTACTATCGAAGCACTAGTTTCACTATTTCCATTTAAAAATCATATACTACTTACATTGCACCACTTCTGCAAATAAAATCAACTTCAAATCATTAAATATTAAGTGAAATACCACAGACTTACCCACTCATTATATCTCCAATACTATTGATTTGAAATTTGACTATACTTCTTTCCCGACGTAGAGACACCAACTAAGGAAGGATTTTTAAAACTTCAGCCCCTGAGGGGGTGAAATAGGGTGTTACAGCTTGTTTAAACGATAATAGCAATCCTCCGGCGGTAAAGTTCTCGTCAAAAGTCTGTGAGGTAGTTATGAAAGGTGGTTGTTGGTGCGCTGGTATACCGTGCAGTGACGGTGTAAAAATATCCACTACCCTATATCACCCCATAGCATGGTGGGTGTCGTAATAGACGTCAGATGAAAACAAATCAGGAGAGAGGGCAGTAGTGTCTTCCTAATAACACTAAAAATAAAAAAAAACTGCGGTTTTTATACCGCTTGCATAGCGTGACAACTATGGCAGATAGGGATATCTCTATGAGGCTATCTGTAGGGGAGGCCTATGTTGAGGAGTTGACTTTAATAGGCTGTAACGGTAACTGTAACGGTTGGTGTGGTGCGGTGGTCAGGCGTGAAGGCGAAGGAGGACATCGGGTGCGCGCTGGTGCTGTGCATGGCGGGCGCGGGGCTGGCGCCGCGCTACCTGGCCGACGTGGTGGCGCTCGACGTGCGCCGCACCGGCGACCACTCGCTCACCTTCCGCGGCAACTCGCTCGCCACCAAGAGCATGGAGGCCTACCTCAAGCTCGTCGGCGACCAATACCTGCAGGTGTGTCCGCGTTTGCTAGAACCCAGTGTCGTTTCACTCTCTTTTCAAATATTTCTAATAATAATTCAAATATATTTTTTAATAATTCTCAAATAAATTAAATGTCATATTTAGTAATTCATAATTTCGTTCGCTCAGTGATCAAAATTGTGGGAAGAACTTTTATTAAATGTTTTTTTTTGTTGCATAACTCAAAACGAATCGGATGCTATGTATATTTAAAATTTAAATGTTGTTAGTTCTACTTTTATTTTGCACTGATTTAAAATATTGTAACCCAATTACTGGCAAGGAGGCATTCAATCATTCTCAGTCTCAGGGTGATTTTTTCAAAGTTTAATTACATTTAATTATATATACATGCCATTATATGCCATTTTATTCGATAACTTGTTGCCAGTAGTGTAACAGTTGTAAGTAGTGACATAATCCCGTTGCTGTAGAAATTTTGGAATTTTTGATAAAATAAATGCGACATGTAGTATTGACAGTCCTCTCCTGGTGTTAAACCTAATACTACCCAAAGAATTTTGAAGAGACCGAACTATATGATGGATGCATTAACACTTCCCAACCAAGCTCTCTCAATTTTTGCTGAGTGGCCAAAGATGTGTGTGATCTGCGTTATCATGATGAAAACCCACTCCTTTTCTGTTGATCAATTCCGGCCGCTTTTTCTCAATTTCTTAGAATAGAATAAAATAATTTTTTATTCAATATACATTACATGTTTAATTCTTATTGAAAGTCATTTTTTACTTTAATTTACCACTGGATCGAAAAAAAACCCTCTGTCCTGGGAAGATCCAGCAAGAAACCCAGCGGGACTTTTCTTTTTTAAATAAATTTTACAATATAAATGATTACGAACTATTTACAAAATTTATTTTAGAAACTGCTTGGAAGCGACCACCTCATTCCCAGGGGTTAATATCAACCATGTATTCATTTATACTATAATAACCCTTTTTATACAGTTTAAGCTTAATAAAACTTTTATACTTGGTAATAGAGAGAACCTGTACACTTTCCGGAACCTTGTTGTAATAGCGTATACATTGCCCCAAGAATGAATTACTGACTCTGTGGAGTTGACTTACTTGAGCATCATTAGTTCTTGGCAGTAGAGATTCTAATCGATGGTTTTGCCCGGCGGTAAAAGCTCATAATAAACGAAGCCCTTCCAGTCCCATCATACACACAGCATCACCTTATTGCGTGTTAATCCGGGTTTTGCTACAGTTTGTGGAGCTTGACTACCCTTTGACCATGATCTTTTTTGTTCGTTGTTGTCGTAGGTGATCCACTTTTCATCAACCATCACTAGTGATCAATCTTTTCGATTCATTAGGTTTTTTTCAGTGAGCTCGTGTGGTACCTAAATATCGAGCTTTTTTGTACAGTCAGACTTTTTCAAATGAGTCAAAACGTTTTGTGGTCAATTCTTAATTCCTCAGCTATGTCGTAACTACTAATATGCCGATCTTGCATTTTTACTTTTTTAAAAATGGCTTCGACTTTATTCATAATATGAGGGCGACCAGAGCGAGCTGCATCTTTGACTTCAAAATTCCCGGACTGAAAACGCTCGAACCAACTTTGTGCTACTTTTGCTGACACTGAATTAAGTCTTTATGGACGTCATAAATTTTTTGCGGATTGAGCCGCATTTTTCCCTTTTTTGTTATAAAACTTCACATTGTATCGAACTGCTTCGTTAGAATCACTCATTTTGATGGAACAATTGAAAAATGGCGGGAAAGTGTTTTTTACTTTTAATTTTTCTTTTTCTTAATTTCCTATATGTATTGATATTAAAACCAGCCAGATACAAACAGTACAACTAAAGAGATTTCTCTTCAATTTGATACAAACAAAATACGTTGAAAATTTTTCCCCTCGCTATTAAGATATCCTTGATTGATGGAGTGGAGTGATGGTTTGTGTGGCAGGAGACGCTGGGCGAGGCGGTGTGGTGGGCGGCGGGGCCGGTCGCGGAGTGCGAGGTGGACCCGCTGCGCGCGGGCGGCGGCGCGGCGCTGCGGCGCCAGCAGGCCGCGCTGCGCGACGCCGTGGCGCGCGCCTGGCGCAGCATCGCCGCCTCCGCGCCGCACTTCCCGCCGCCGCTGCGCGACTGCTTCGCCACCTTCCGCGAGCGGTGAGACTTACGCTAAGTTTATATGAACGCGGTTGGAGCATTCACATGACGGCATATGTACGCGCGGCAGTCTAACATCTTCGCTACTCATTTTTCCTGCATCTATGCGTCAGTCCGTCTCAACTCGCGCGGATCAATTGAACAGGTTGATATAGGTTCGTAGAACTTGAACCGCGCGGTTCAAGATCTTGCGCGCGGGTGAATCGTGCTGCGCGGCAACACGCGGTACCGCGCGGTGATGTGAACGATAATTGCCATTTACTTAGATCTTATACGGCGGGGTCGGTAGTTCCGCGCGATCATGTGAACTGAGCTTTATTTGCGCACCTCCTAGCGCGCCGCCCGTAGCAACTGTATCGCCACCTTCCGCGAACTGAGTCTTACCTGCGCACCTCACTATTACACTACCCGTGATTGCACCGTCTCCGCGCCGTATTTCCGTTGCCGGACGCAGGACACATTGCGAACCTTACTTTCGCAAACATTTTTATTAGCTCGGCCTTCGTGTCTATTTGTCATCATTGGCACAATATATTATGTATGTAAAATGTACACAGTGGTTTTTTTTTATATTCAATTAGCTGATACCCGGCGCGTTGCCGCCACTGGAGAAATAATTGTTAAAACATCGTTTTAAATTTGGTGGAGTTATATTTTTTTAGAGGATAGGGTGACAAACGAGCACACAGTCCACTTGATGGTAAGTGGTTGCTGTGACCCATAGACATCTACATCTATCCTCGTTTGCAAATCAAAATGAAGATGCGTTATCACCCGTGAGGACTAAGATGGAATGCCTCTTTTCCAGTAAAAATGGTCTCCGGTTCTCTACACTTACCATACGAAACACAGCAGTGTTAAACCGCTATTTGACGCTGGTATTCTATGAGAGCGTGGTCCTTCCCCGGTCGAACCGACACATTCGTGCTACAACTATACAACTAATATAGCTGCAGCATGGCTCTACCACGTACAAAATATTGTTTAATTAAGAATGATAATACATTCATTGAAGTTCAGTGATATATAACTTTCAAGTAAATAATTAAGCAATAAGTTAACAAAGTTTTACCACAATCAGATGAACGGTATGGCAACGCATAAAACACGAACAAACAAATATTTAATTTTTATATATTAGATAAGATCCGACAATAATTAAAACCGGTTTATATTTTTAAATAACTCAATTTTTCATGATTTATCAATTCGTTTCTAGGAACCAATCCTTAAAAATATTCTAAGGATTGATTCGTTAGACATTGTAGTCTGCTCTTAAAAAATATTGGTTTTAATTAGCTGTTCCTAAGTATTTATTAAACATCGTCTTTATTATCAAATTCCCATCGCTAAGTGTCCTAAAACTTTTGTCATCTCAAACTCGCAAGTAATCTTTTTTATTCTATTAGTTTCTATTTTTTACAGATGCTACTTACTACATTTGTTACCAATTTTAGTCATACTGCAATTGCCCAAGTACAAAACTTTTTATATTGTCAATTATTTATTTACAAGTCACATTAGAAACCCAATTGGCGCAAAAACCGCCAATTGCCCGTGTCAGAAGAGTAACACAATCATATTATCTACTGACTTCAAAAAGGAGCAAGTACTAAATTCGACTACATGTGTGTTACCACCTCATAGCTTTTTTCTAGGTGAACCGATTTCGATGACTCTTTTTTTATTTGAAAGCTGATGCTTCTCATGTGGTCCCATATAAATTTAATCAAGTTCTGACCAATATTTTTTGAGATATTCTTACTAATTTATATTGAAGTCAGTTGTACAAAGTCAATTTTATTTTACCAGTAGTTTTTCTTAAACGCATCGCAATTAAAAACCCAACATAATTTGCTATTCAGGGCATTAACTAAATTGCGAAACTTTTTTTGGCTTAAGCCAAAACATATTCCTCATAAGTTATGTATGATTCTTTTCTCAATTGCAGATTAGCGTCGATGGGCCGAGAAGACATTTCAGACAACTTAATCAGCGCATCCATTTTCCTTCGGTTTCTCTGTCCAGCCATCCTCTCTCCGAGCCTCTTTGGAATAACTCACGGTAGGCAAAACCTTCATAGATAGTGAAGAAAATAATATTAATACATAATATAATAAATAATAGGACGGCTCCTTGGCGCAGTGGCTTGGCAATCAGTTGCAGCGCTATGGGTTCGAATCTCGCACGGAACAAACATTTGTGTAGCCTATAAATAATGGAGGGGGGGGGGGGGGCATTTAAAAAATGTAAAATGTCATTATAAAAAATATATTAAAGCAGTATTTAACAAAATAAACGACTACGCTTTTATAAGCGCTGCGAAGGCCACCATCCGAGGCCGTAATCAGATTAACTCCATGCTACCAACAAGCAACTCTTTACTATCGTAACCCGTTTATTACTTTATATTAATATTTAAAATATACTTTACTGTCTATACTTTTCTTTATTACTGTGGAGTAAATTAACAAGAAACATGAATAATAAATATTTACAACTGATTATGTCCACTGCTGAACACAGTCCTCCCAATAGTTGCCACGCACTGCAGGTGGGCTGGTAACCACAGTTTTTTTATTTTTTGGTTGTTACTAGGAAGACGCTGTTGAACATTTCCTGGTTTGTTTCCCTCTGTCGCCTCTTACAACACCCACGGGACGGTATGATTTAGGGGATATTCTTACAGCTGGATTATTTATTGCGTAAATTTCTTACTAATTTGCTTTAATGATGTATAATTATGTTGATTACCGTTTTCTTTATATCTGTCTCTTTCTATTATCATTTAGAAAAAAGAGAGCGAACAACTAAGCATTTCTTAGAATGTCGTCGACTTTTATGAGTGAAGCCGAATATTATTTTACATATTATTTACTTTTTTTCCAGAATACCCTAATGAGCGAGCGGCACGTAATCTCACATTGATGGCGAAGACACTGCAAACATTGGCAAATTTCACACGTTTTCAAGGCAAGGAGGCGTTCATGGAATTCCTTAACGATTTTCTCGAACAGGAGGCACCCAACATGAAGGCGTTCCTTAGGGCTATATCAGTAAGTTAATTGAGAAAAAATTACATCTATATATTAAAATCAATATATGGCCGGCACATTGCCACTTCAGCTTACTAATCCGTTGGGCTATGTCGGTTACTCTGGTTTTACTGCGGATATCCTCATTTTTTAATTTATCACGCAGAGAAACTCCGAGCATAGCCCTCTCCATAGCGCGCTGACCGACCTTGAGCTTTCTCATAGTAAGCTAAAGTGGCAATGGGCCGGCCATATAGCCCGAAGAACCGACAACCAATGAGGAAAAAAGGTTCTCAAGTGGCGGCCACGTACCGGCGGATGAAGTATAGGGCGTCCCCACACTAGATGAGTGACGACCTGGTAAGACATGTAGGAAGTCGATGGATGCAGGTGGATCAGGGCTGTGCTCTGTGGCATTTCTTGGGGGGCGAGGTCTAGGTTCAGCAGTGAACTTGTGAAGGTGTAATGATGATGATGAACATGAAGGGTGACAAAAAATGATTCAAATCAATTGGTGTCTAGTTAAAACTTGAAAATGGATCGACCGATTTTGATGAAATTTTTGTGTGTTTGAGTGAGTGCCTAGATGGTTTTGATTAACAGTTCGACCCGGTAGGGGGCGCTGTTGTCGAGATCCAGAAATTACCGGTACGAAGCCGGGGCGGATCATTAGTTGTAAATAAATATAAGTAAACCTCTCGATGAGATTCAGATTCATTTGATAACCTATCGAAGTTCCATTGTTGCGTTTCAGTTCTTCCCATTGCCACTTTAGCTTACTGAGCCGGGCATAGATAATATTAAATATTATTATCTGTGCTCGGGATTCCCCGATTTGAAACAAACGCCACACAATCGTCACAGTCAGATTTTATTCGGGGAGTTCCCTGCCGCGTCGGTTGGTGATATCAATCATCATCACTATTAACGCTTAGGCATTTTGTGGTATAAGCAAAATGCATGAGCATATCAGATACATTTAATTCAAACACCTCAAGTAAAAATGGACGTGCCTTAAGATCTTCCAGGCATTGCCCACTGTCGACACTTACATCACTTTTTGATGTCTCAAGATGATGTGTAAGATTATTTAATGGCGTCGTTAAAAAGTATGGTAGCTTAGCCGTTGAAGGAAAAGAGGAGATTTCCCGCCGGGCAAGGTGTTCAGCCCGGGGAGCGGCTAACGCTTCGTGTGTTATTTCAGAGCTGTACTTTATATAGTGCGGTAACTTCGGAACTTTGGTAGTGCGATTCAGGCTTCGATGTGTTTCGCTTGTGGCGCGACACAGTAGCAAAGTAAAAAATAAAGTTACGTCTCACTTGTGAGGATTATAGAGCAATTAGTGTTTCAGTGCGTATTGGCGGACGCGGACGTACAAATGGTCGATATATTTGCAATTCACAGACATGGATTTGGCTTAACTCCTTTGTCACTTTGATATTATAAAAAAGGATTTCCATTTTTCTTACAGACGCGACCTCAAGAGCAGCAACCGTGTCAACAGCAGGAGGGCAACAAGCGGGACTCGGCGGCGTCGCAGGGCTCCGTCGGTGGCTCGGAGGGCTCGCGGGGCTCCGGCGGGGCGGGCGCGGGCGCGGGGGGCGCGGGCGCTGCAGGCGGCGCCGCCGGGGTGGAGCCCGACCCCGAGTGGGCGCCGCACGTCGACCTCGGCAAGCAGCTGGCAACACTGCACGGCCTGCTCGTCGACAGTCTGCCGAAGCTGCCGCCTGCGAGGATACAGGTATATTTTTTTAAACGTTAGGATTTTCTACTTCACCATTGAGGCAGTTTACATACATAAATTCCACAATAACAAACATCCAGACTCGGAACAATTGTTTGTAGGCCATTCAAATACTTGTTCCGTGTGGGATTCGAACCCGCGGCCCCTTAGTGCCGCAATTCATTTCTATGCCACTGCGCCACGGAGCCGTTGATAATAAACTGATTGTGATAGCAACAGTTGTGACAGTGTGGTATTTGATGCGAGCACACATGAATGGTGTAGAATAATTTAAATCATATTACTTATCCCCTGGACTAATTGCGATCCCGGAGAATATTGGCTCATTACATAGTAGAGTTTTGTAGAATGAACTATTTAAATATTGTTATTGTTAAATCATATTGCCGTATATCATAATATTAATGATCTAATAAAATATAAAATTGTGATGTGAGAATTGATGTGTATATTTTGATGATTGATATGAATCTTCGCGTTTTCAGGAACTAGAACCACTATCAGACATTCTCGACGAACTTAGCAAGAGGTTAGCGAGTAACGACAACGGACCCATGGCGCCGGTATCTGACAACATCTTTAGGTAACACAACGCTTTAAATATAAATATATTCTTATTGCGAGTCATAACTCTCATTCTCTCCCTCTCTCTCTTTCTTCCTCTCTTTTCAATTATCAATACGAGAAAGAAACAAGTATAGAGATAATTAATTTAAGTTTTTTTTAAAACATATTTTATAGAAATGAACGATAATCATCGATTATAAGTAAGGCAGTAAGAAAACAAATTTACATTATATTAACATCACTACAATTATTTGACATTCTTTACTTTCTCGAGTGTTGTTTATTCCAATAATTAATTTTCTTTCAGGTTTAACGACCCCACATGCACTACGCCCACGAAAGAAAACAACGTGGACACTCCAACAAACGGACAACTAAGTGGCAACTTCGCTCACAGTTCGCCCATCATGAACAAAAACGGCGTTCAATTCAATATCAGCCCATCGAAATCTAATGCCGAGGAGTCTAAATACAAAGGGTCTTATACCGCCGTTTCCAAATCACCCAGTTTCAACTTGCGCTCAGCCACCTTGCCTAGGAACGGCTACGGCTCGAATCCAGCCAATCAAAATGTGAACCCCGACAGATACAGCTCTCAGTACAACAACCAAGAGCACTGCGTCAACCTGAAGGTCGTACAAATTGGCTTCGGCTCGGACCAGTACCCTAAGGGCATCAGCAACGGCTTAAACGAAAGCTTAGAGAGACGTTTCCAAGAGAGATACAAACCGAACAATTACAATCAACAGCAAAGCCACTTTCATAACACCAACTACAACACCGAAAGATCTCCCAGCGGTGACAGCATCAATCAAAATTATAAAAACGATATGCAAAACATCATGAAAGAGACGGCCACACTGGAAGAGTTATCGGATCTGTTAAAATACGCAGATGATTCAGATATTGTGGACGATAAGCTAAACAATAAAAAAATGATACAATCAAAAGCCAACAATAACAACAATAACAACAACAACAACAATAACAGCAATGGTATCATCAATGGAAACAAGACCAACTACACTAATAATGGTTCAAACGTCTCCATCAGCGGCTTGTCGAATGTGGCTAGCTCCGGGTACCAGAGTATCGCCACGTACAGCCAAAGCTCTAGTCCCATCGAAAATACGACGCATCACCACCAGCCTTACGAAAATGGCGGCCAACCAATGAGCCGGTACTCGCAGCTGAATTACCAAAAACAAAGGGAGAAGCAGTATTACGAGAGCAAAAATGACAAGTTCTATCCAAAGAGCCCAGTGCAACAGAAAATCGAATACGACATACAGAAATACGGAATACAAAACTTCACGACGGCCGACAACGCGCAAACAAATACCAATGTGAACTCCAAGATAGCGCCGTTGGTGTTCACGAATCCGGTTTACAACATGGAGGACAACCGGCACGCGCAGGAGAAGAACACAAACAATGAGAACAGGAACACTAAACGGTGTCCTTGTGGCTCATCCAGTTCATCGATCGATGAGGAGGGCTTGAGCACGGACAACGTGGAAACAAACTCGGAAGAGGGTTCTACCAACTTCAACGACGATGGTAGAAACTTCGAACAACAGAACCGCAACAATACCCACCGAAAACTCACCAGAGATAATAGCAACTACGAAGACTTGTACCAGAGAAGTAACCATAGCCATTCCCCTAGGATAAAAGACGACGAGTCGTCCAGCAATTCGCCCAGTTTACGGAAGAGCAGCAAAACCAGAATGCCGAGAACTAATCCTATGCTCTCATACTCCACGAATCAGAACCAGCTGAATTTGAAGCACTTTGGTCAGAGAGGAGAGTCGATGTACGAAAGCAAGCCTCACCACATATCAACCGACTCTGGCTATCCTATGAGCCGGTCAGACTCCAACGTCGAAGAAGTGAACAAGGAAATGTACAGGCTGCAGATATCGAGGAGTCAAAAGGCGTTATATAACATGGAAAACTCCAAAAATTCCCCTGAAAAGTTTACAATGACCGAAAACACCATACCAGAGACGAATTATCCTTTAGATAGAGTATATTCAGGGACCAAGGTCTCAAGCAGTAGGTTGAATGAGGACTTAGAGAGGCATCAGGATTATTACGGGATGAGAGGAGAAAGAAGGGAATCGCCCAATCGAACGGCATTTGGGAGGGAATCACAGTCTAGTGAGGCCAGTGAACGGATTAACGCACGGGAAGTCCGGACGGAACGCGAAATGCCCGGGAGAGACAAGTTACAGAGGCGGCTCAGTCTAGAGTCTGCCCGGGATCTCACCGACAGTTCGGACGAAGTGGATGAAACACTCTACAGCACAACGGGAAGACGGCGCACCTCTAAACACCATAGAACAATTGAACAGGTAATTTGTTTCTTTCTGTATAGTAAATGACACACATTTATATTGGGTCGGTGACCGGCGCCAGTCAACTTGCGTCATTTTGAAAGCCAATCACTGTTCTTCATCTGCGTCGATTTAGTCAATTGATTTAGATTTACTCAAAACAAGTTTTCAGTCTGTTGTAAATGCTAGGGATAACATCTTTAAACACGGCATCATCCACTTTCGGTTATAGACAAAAGACAAATTAGTGATGAGACAAATTTTTCGTTATAACACTTTAGCAGTTACAAGACTGACATATGTACCGGCGCGTGGTTATTAACATAATCGCAATCGACCTATATTAAAATACCTAGACCGAAGCTACTTATTAATATTTAGTTTAGATTTTGAATTAAAATTTTATTCCTATAAAATAACGTTGATTGATGATATCTTTCAGTATGAACGTGAAATTGAAAGGCTAAAATGTTCCGTGGAATTGCTGCGAGGTCGCCTGGGACCAGCTGAACCTGGACAGGATCATACGGATGCCAAAATGAAGGCGATTATATCCAGGTAATTTATTGTTTTTATATTAATGATTTCTTATATTTACGCGAACACTACATATTGAATAAAACTACTTTTACGGATTTTATCGCGTTTAATTAACTTATTTTATATTCCCGACGTTTCGGTTGCTTTCCAGCAACCATGGGCACGGGGGACTGGTTTTTATATTGTTTATGATAACGCCTCCTTCGAATTAAAATCTTTTCGATGTTAATGATTAAAATTTCCTTTGTGAAATATTACTTATTTCAAACCTATAACGATTATAATATTATAGTCTGAAGTTACCATGTCCATACAAGATAAATTTTCCTAAAAAACAAAGAAAGTTGGAACACAATTCAAAATATTACAAGAATTTCATATTTTTTTTAAATCAGATAAATATGTGGTAATATGTATATTATATAGTGTAATAATATGTCCGGCAACCAAAAACTCTAAAGTGAAAATAAGGTTCTTTACGGGATACACTAAAAAACAAATTGTATTACAAATAGTAATCCATTTACCTTATATTATTCAGTTTCGTTACTATAAGCCATAAAGTTAAGTTATTAAAGGCAAGTTGTTTGATTGTATATTTTCAATTACACAAAAATCACTTTTAGCTGAATTTTACGTTCGACTAAATTTTACGGCTTAAGATGCCAAATGACGACCTTACAAAGATTAGTACTTTGTTGGTCTCTTTTTAGATCTGTCAAAAGCTTTTGAATGTGTTATTCATAATATATTGTTAAAACAGCTTGAACATTTAGACACGTGGATTAGCCCTAAAATTAATGGAATCTTATCTGACTGACAGAATACATGCGACGATATTAGATACATTTGACAAAAAAACAAAATCAATGACACAAGTGCAATCGGATTTCAAAAAATTAAGCCTAGGTGTACCGCAAGGTAGGATACTAGGTCCACTGATATTTTTGATTTACATAAACGAGCTTCCATTAATGATAAATCATCTATGTGTAATGTATGCTGATGATGCTACAATATTCTTATCCAGAGATAAACTAGATGATGCAAATTTTGTGAATGAAATTTATAACACACTAAACACAGTAGTGAACTGGCTAAGTTAAAAAAAGTTAAAATTAAATTTGGGAAAAACAAAACTAATAGAATTTAATAATTATAATAAAGCTCCAATTGAATTAAATGTTATAATCGACGACGAAAAAATTGAGAAAGTGCATGACATGAGATTTCTGGGTGTCAACATTGATAGTAATTTGAACTGGAAATCGCATGTTCAGAAAATAAACAGTAGGATTTCAAGTAATTGTTACGCTAGATCAATATTTAATAATGTCGCATCGAGAGATATAGCAAAACATTATCACTATGGTCATGTCATCCACTTCTGACAAATGGAATTATATTCTGGGGCAATACTGTTGACATTCAGTCCACATTAGTTTTGCAAAAAAAGTGCTTAGGCATTATGTATAACATTAATCAATATGACTCATTAAGAATTTATAGATTGTAAATTCCTGATGTTGACTTGTATATACATACTTGAAACTCAATATACTTTTGATGTTTGCATTGTTAAATCATCTAGTTACATTTAGAGTAAAAGAACTTTAATAAGCGGAATCAGAATCTTTAACCATTTACCTATATACATTAAATCATTAGAGAGCCCACGATTTAAAAAAAAAGCTAAAAGAATGGTTATTATCAAAATGATTCTATAATTTAGATGAATTTTTTGGTAATGAAATGAAGTAATTATTGATTTATTGTAGTGCTTTATTTTATTTTTTTATTATATTGTACGTCTAAACTGTTGTAACTATACTCTGTATTTGTAAGACCTAATGTACACAGTTATGACAATAAATGATTATTTTATCTTATCTTTAGGCGATAGAGACAACTAAACTACAAATACGATAGGTTGATTTTTTAAGAGGCTTAGTAGGCTTTAGTATCCTCTTTTGTTAAGAATCATGATGAAATGCAATAAGAAAAGTCAAGTTTATAGGTTAAGGTCTTGTAGGACATCTAAATTCAGAGATTTTTTTTTAAAATTTTGCCGTCCTCCAAGTTCTGCTACCCTATTCGCTAAATACTCAAACACTACTCAATTTTAAGATCACACATTAAGTGTTACAGTCACTTTGACTTTAAGTGATAGAGACAGCACGACACTTAACGATATCTTAAAATTGAGCAGCGTTGGAGTATTTGGGCATATCACTCCTATACCTAAATACTGTTGCTACTAGTTTTCTGCCGACTTTCAAAAATGAGACGGTACTCAATTCGACGCGTATGTTTTTTTTTATGTGTGTTACCTCATAACTTTTTACTGGGTGAACCGATTTCGATGATTCTTTTTTTATACTGATACTTCTCGTGCGGTCCCATATGACCAATAAGGTCATAATAAGGTCAGACCAATCGCTTTTGAGTTAGTTGAGTTATTCTTAATAACTTATATTGAAGTCGGCTGTACAAAATTTTTAATTTTAAATTATTCTTTTGTAAACTTTACGGCCCCGTACTACATATAAAGTTGCAGTCTCAACCCGTTCTTCGTACTTGCTATTAACCTTGCCAGAAAGTTTTCTCTCATTTCTGTCAAGGTTAATAGCAAGAACGAGTTTGCCGCGTAGTCCCAATTCTTATTTTGGTGGACTTCAAATGTCTTAGAAATATTTATATATTTATCTTATTATGTTTTAATCACCATAAACCATAATAGGTTTTATTTTATTACAGCTTATCAAAATTTCCCATAGATTGCTTAATAGGAGGGATTTTACCATAGTTGCCACGGTTCTGCGAGCATCTTGCTAACCGCAGATTTTTTTAATAATTTGGAGTTGTTATCAGAATGATTTTGCTGATCATCTTCCGTTTCAGTTTTCCTCTATTGTCTCTTACGATATCTACGGTACGATATGGGGTAGTGTATTGTACATTTTTTTTACAGAATAAGAGTGACAAACGAGCACATAGTCCACCTGACGGTAAGTGAATGCTGTGGCCCATAGACATCTACATTTATCTTCAATTAAGAATCAAAATGCAGATGTGTTGTCACACCTGAGGACTGAGATGGAATGCCTCGTTTCTAGTAAAAAGGGCTTACTACACTCACCATACGAAACACAGCAGCATTAAGTTTCTATTTTACGCTGGTATTCTGTGAGAGCGTGGTTCCACCACGGACGAGTCGACTCATTCGTGTTGCAACGACAGTATAGCTGCAGCATGGCTCAACCATGTAAAAATTCTAATCTAATTGTATTATTTTACACCGCCATAACGCAGAATGTGTTGGAATGATTTCAGGTTAATTTGCGTGGAAGAGGAACTGAGGCGGGAGCAGCGCAAGATGGCGGCGGCGCTGTCGCACAAGCAGCGCGTGATCGAGGCGCAGGAGCACCGCATCGCGGCGCTCGACGAGGCCAACACGCGCCTGCTGTCCGCGCTCGTGCACCTGCAGCAGCGCGCGCCGCACCCGCCGCACCCCGCGCACCCGCCCACACACTCACACCACGAGCTGCAGATATAACTTTTGTACTCTACCCTTGTTTTTAATCTTTCAATAGAAATCAAATGGGAACAAATTTATTCAATTGATAATAATTAAATATTTTCCGCCATTTTTAAAGCGTATCGCCTCAGGCAAAAGTTCATCTTTGTTATGAACATAATTTTTTAATGAACTTGCTCTTTAATTATTTTCGTTTCTTATCTACGACTTTAATATTTTTTTATTAATTAAATAAATGTCTACATTATGTAAAGAAGACACGTTCATGAGATTAGTACATCCGACTATAAAATTTCAACTACGACGATAAACCTATTTTCAAAATGTATTTTATATCTAAATAAATGTATACGATTTAAATGTATCAAAATTAATTATCGTATCGTTGATGATTTTATTTTTATTACATACAGTACATACCATTTCTTTATGGTGATAATATATCTTTAATATACTTTTGGTATTTTAAATTCTAAATAAATTTGCTCTTATTGTATACTATTTGAAAAATAGGGATTACAATAAAATATTTTCGTGTATTTTGCTATACAGCAATAATATTATAGCCATTTCTTATTGTGTAAATTTTACTCAAGTAAGGCGAATGTTTTTTTTTTCTTACATTTTAAATTCGGATCACAACTGTTTAAGCAATTACTTTTTATATAATATTTGTTGAATGTTGTTCTTTAGTTTTATTATGCGGAGATGCTTTAAATAACTTACATTTTGTTAAAATATCAGTATTCTCTAAAATAAATCCGATTTGATGTTTGCAGACATCAACAACTTGTTTTGTTTTCTGTAACAATGATACCAAAGACAATTGAATATCCTTTAGAGTAAAGTTGTAGTGTTCTAAGCCACTACAATTGTAGCTCTAGTGTTGTATTTTAAAAATAAAACGTTATAGATTTTTATAATAATAATAATTAATATAAGACTTGTATATTAATAATATTAGCATATTATGTTTATTTGTACTAGAATTGGTATACAAAAGAGAAAATATTTTTAATACCTTGAAGTATTATAGTGCGAGCATTGTAGTATGATAGATAACGACTGTAATAACAAAAATCAAATAGCCATTCACTTTAATTGCATTTTGGAAATGCTCTTTGAACAATTTAACTTCATTTAACAATATACGAAATAATTATTTGTTATGCAAATGATACAATATCAACAACTTAGTTGTTTGCAGTGAAAAGATAAGTTTAAGCCATAACTTTATGTAAATACCTTATTAGGTATATACTACTCTTATCACATTAAATTATGGATTACGTATTTTTGCCTTTCATTTTACCCGTTTTACCCAATTTTATAGTAAAAATTGATTAACCGTGTAGTAGCGGTAAGAATGTCCACTACCCACTTGTCGTAAGAGGCGAGTGAAACAAACCAAGCGATAGGAGTAGAGAAACCAATAACTAGAAAAAAAGATTGCAGTTGCTAACTGGCCTACTAAGCGTGACAACTATGGCAAATATCGCCATTTTGAGGCATTCTACAAAGAGGCCTATGTTAAGTAGTCTAATTTGATAGGCTGTAATGAATTATAAAATATATACGTTTTATATAAACATTTATAATTAAGGTTGAATCTAATTCGTCGCCAAAAGAAAATGCCGCCAACTTGCAATTGAATTTGCTTGCTACTGTTAACAATTCGGTACGAAGGACCACGCTCTCACACAATACCTGCGTAAAATAGCAGTTTAACGCTGCTCTGCTGTGTTTCGTATGGTGAATGTAGAGAACCGGAGACCCTTTTTACTGCAAACAAGGCATTCCATCTTGGTCCTCACGGGTGACAACGTATCTGCATTTTGATTCGTAATCGAGGATAGATATAGATATCTATGGGCAGCAGCAACCAGTTACCATCAGGTGGACTGTGTGCTCGTTTGTCGCCAAAAGAAATAACTCTGTAAATATGCCAGCAGAGGCGTAGTTCCTGACAAGTCTCGTATTCCGTCAATCTAACGGTCGCGGTCTTTGAAGGTAGTTGAGTTGAAGGTAGTGACGGCCTCGCAGTCGCACGCAAGAGAGGCTTCCTGCGACGCCCGTAACAAACACGCTTTTAAATTTTTGACGTTCTTTTTCAAGCATAAAAGTGATCAAATTTATTAGCTGCCACGTATAGTCGCTGTAATCAAGTCTGGGAGTACTTTTATCTGTCATTGTCATAAAAGTACTCAATTAATTTTTAATTTATTTTAGCTATAATAATTGAACTAACCTCGCTCATAGTTGCTTTCAATACTGGCTTCTCGTAGTTCTCACCGGACGGCTAGGGTTTATGCGCCGTTTGCGCGCCAAGCCAAGTATTGAATTATTTTAATTTTACATTATCTCTTAAACTATGCGTCCAAATACCATGGTATAAAGAACAAAGTTTATCTTCATAAAATTGTCTTGATGATGAAGTAACTTTCGTTCGTCAGGATAAATAGGCCATGCCTAATAATAACGCTTATAAATCACTTTTTAATTTTCAATATTTTTTTGTCACAAAATACCTAATTATGGTTTATATATAAGAAATAGACATATGGTATCGGGGACGTTTTTTAGACAGAGTAAAGATCTGTATTTTTCTAGAACATTGTATTTACGTATCCCTAACCATAACACCAGCGTACGCGGATAAATCATTTCGGGAGCGCTTTTTCTTCTTACTTGCTTAACAAATATCCATATTTAAGGCTAGCTGAGTGATATAGCTTAATGCTTCATAGGCTATACTATTCCACATGAATTGGGCTATAATATACAAAAAGAATTTTTCAAATCGGACTGGTAGTTCCAAAGATTAGCGTGTTTAAGCAAACAAAAAAACAAACAAACTCTTCCGCTTTATTATATTATATAAAGGTGGAAGCTACAGGGTGGCCCGCGAAATTCAAATTTTCTTGCGTTTTTTGGAATTTGCAGGTCAGGTTTAGGTTGTATATTTAACAAAATATGATTCGCGACTGTAGTGATTATGTGTTTACAGAATTATTATCATTAAAATCACCAATACAACCCTGTAAGGTCATATTAGCCCTGTCTGCAAATTCTAAAAAACGCAAGAAAATTTGAATTTCGCGGGCCACCCTGGAGCTTCCACCTTAAGTATAGATATGACTCGTCACACACGTATGTATGTGGCCGGCCTTATTAAATAGGATTAAAAACGTAAGCGATGAAACTTTAAATAATAAAGCCCAAATTAAATTATCCATCTATTAGGTGGGATAGTAACCAAGCTATCAGGCTAGCCTGTAATAGTTTAAATATATTATACGAAAATAATTTTTGCCTAAAATAAGTAATGTTAATATAGAACTTCTTATAATCTGATAAGTTTTTATTGGTTATATCATATCTGAAGTGTGGTTCATGATAATAAAGTAAATCTTGTAAGTTAGAGCTATGTTGTATTATTCTTTGATTAGAAAGAAAACAACTTTTAATTTAGTTTCACTATCAAAGTAATTCATAGCAGAGCAAACATAACTACACATTACTCTGTACGCTCAATTGCCCGCAAACAACTGTATCGTTTATTTTCCAAATTTCTTTTACGTTCTGCTGTTTCGGTTACACTGTACGGATGTATTAAAACCAAATCCTCAACCCTTCCGTAGAGATAAGAATAATAAATTTCACGAAATTTCTTATCGGGAAATTGAGCTTGGCACATTGTAGGCCACAGCATATTATTAAATTTTGCAAAAGATTTAAATAACTCCAACTTGTACTTATGGGTATATTTTCGGAAGTTTTGGTTTAGTTCGTGTTTATGTACCCAATTGGTATGCCCAGTGTATTTCGAATCTTTGCTGGGGTAGACGTGACCATAACCTTTCAGTGAAAGGGTCCAAAACTTTTGCCAATCGTTAATGCTCTTGTGTAGAATGCGCGATCTCTCCTTCGGAGTATAGGGACCGTGGATACGATGCCGCATCCACTCCTTTAGTTCGGGCACTAAGTGTATATCTGGTAATCTCGCCGCTACATTCTCACGTCTCATCGTTCGAAGTGCGCTTCTTAGATATTCTTCAGGCTTAACTTTCTCGTTAAGGGACGTTGCAGAATGTTTCTTTGTTTTTGATTTTGTCCTTTTATCTTTTTTATCTTCATTACTGTCCTGATTACAACGTAACATACTGTCAGTGCCCCATAATTTTCTAAATTCTTTTTGTACGTGAAGTTGTTTATCATCCAAGTTGTAAATTGTGTCATAATTGAAACGAAAAGGTGCGTTTCGGGTGGGTTTTTCAAAGTAAGGTAATTCGTCAGGCATGAAGGCGCCTTCATTTCCAAAGTCGTAGTAATGATCGCAATAGCATTTGGTATCTTCAATGTATTTGAACACAGAATCTTGCCATTTTGTAACGCAATCGCAAGGGTCGGGTTTTGGCGGGGGAGGGCGGCCGCGGTACCCGCAATGTATGTTAATGCATTCACCGTTCACGTACGTATAACCGCCATGTATCATATCCCCATCAGGTGGCAGTAAAGAAACGTTACCAAGAACAAACACTGTTTTACCATTCACAGTATAGACACCTTGTATTAAATATTGTGCATTTTTCATACCCGTTGTGGGTGCTACTGGTTTTTTACGCCTAACTTTTTTAGATACTGACGTGCCTATGCCGTATGATCTTCTTCTGTCTTCGAGGATACTTATTTTTGAACTTCTTGTCCTTTTATTGTTATTAGTATTTGCTATAGGTTTCATTGATAGCTTATCAATAGAGGTCTTAGGTTCTATTGACATTATACCAGCCAATTTGTCGCAATAGGATCGAGGTAACCTTTTTTTTGGCGGTGGCGGAGGTGGAGGTAAAGGAGGTGGCTTACGTATGATTGGTTCCTCTTCATAAGGTTCATTGAACGAGTCAAAATTTGGTAATGGTGGCGGCCGTTGTGGCTTTGGTGTGGGCGGTTTATACAAAACTGCAATCATTTCCTCTAGATACGGAGATTTTTGTACGGATTTAATTTTAACTTCAGGCTTAGGTTCTTTAGGTTGTTCCGGTTCGACGTGAAATTTGTTTTGTAACAAATTTATTAAATTTTGTCGACCTAAATAAAGAATTGCAGATAGTAACAATTTCGCATTTAGGTTGTAGTCGGCACGTTTACCCTCTATAGAGTGACCGTACATTAGGCCAAATAAATTTGCGAGCATTTGTTTGGGATCTTTTCGGCCAGTATATACACAGTACATGACATCTTCGGAATATGGTCGAGGATGTAAGCCTAATTTACGTATTACTTGCTCCGTTTTTGATGGGCGGCCTTCTAATACGTCTTGATATATAGAAAATTCTAATGTATCTAAAGCTCGCCTTTGAGGCTCACTAAGTTCGTAATACCAGCTGGGGCCAATTGAATCTACAATTCTCCGAATGAACCGCTTGTGTCGTCGCTTGCGAACTTCTTTCAATTCGTCCATATATATTTTTCGTTCTCTAGTTTTTCTTGTGTAAATGACCTCCACTCTACGAGGAACGACTTCAACGTAATTAGTATTGATTTCACCATTTTTATTCTGCATGGTTACTAAAATAAAACACAAAGAAAAATAAAATAATAAATTTTCTTCTAGATTTATTGATACTACAATTTGATTAATAAAGACAAAGCAATGTCAAAATGAAGTTTTAATTTTGACAGTTTTATTTTTTTCTGTACAATCTGTTTTATTATTATTAGCGTTAAACAGATCATGTCAGCTAGATAAACGCTTTTTGTTAAGTTGGACTTACGCTTCTGCTATGGGGAGAATGTTCGTTCTCACAACTAACATGTAGCGGAACAACCATACGTTTTGCTATCTATTATTGATATTTTAAAGTTTTAATTGATTTAAACTAGCTAGTCTGCCAATTCGTCAGCAATACGAAAAAAGAGATATTATACATAAACCTGGCAGCTTTACCATATTATTTTCAAAAAAAACTGTATGTGTGATGTGTTATTCATTTGGCTTAGTACGTTTTTTGCAAACGTAGTTGTGTAACATTTTATTTTTAAAGGTAGGTAATTAAAGAGTACAAGAACAATAAAACCACAAACGAATAGGAAGTACTAGCGCAAATTGTTTTATTAGAAAAATTTGATTAGAATTCGGACTAAAATTGCAACAGAATGCATTGGTTCATGATTTATATTTATTAGGTTTTTTTTTTTTTGATTTCAAACAATCATATTGAAAAAACAAAGAGTTAAGTAATTTTTTTATAGATTTAGGGTGACAAACAACATACAACACTGTGACAAAAAACACAGTCCACCTGATGGTAAGTGGATGCTCTGGCCCACAAACATCTACATTTATCCTCAATTAAGAATCAAAATGCAGATGCGCCGCCACCCTGAGGACTAAGATGGAATGCCTCGCTTCCAGTAAAAAGGGTCTCCGGTTCTCTACACTAACCATACGAAACACGCAGCATTAAGTTCTTATTTTACGCAGGTATTCTGTGAGAGCGTGGTCTTTCCCCGGTCGAGCCGACCCGTTCGTGCTGCAGCCACAATATAACTACAGCATGGCTCTACCACGTAAAAAAAGTATCTAAAATACCTGTGATTTGTCTTACCAAGGGCATGATAAAGTTGCCAGGTTTGACGGTACCTCTTTTGTTACCGTTTGAGAAGAACACAATAGAGGCAAACTCTTTAATATAAAACCTTTTACATAAAAATGTGGCAGTATATGCTAATATAACAATGATTGAGATGTAACCTATTGTTATATAAATTATGTAAATTATATATCAAAAGTTTTTGAGTTCACTAGTACCAAAACCTAAAACGTAGTGATTATATAATCTCTGGTTAACAAAGTATAGACGTAATTATTTTTACCTTATATTCTTTTATCATTAATTCACTACAGCCTATCAAAAGTGCACGGTGGATAAAAGCCTCCTTCCACATATGGTTAAGGTAAAGGGGATTTGCCATATTTGCCACGCCTGGTAGGCGTTTTGGCAACCGTTGCATTTTATTATTTTTAGGTGTTATCAGGAAAAAGTTGCGCCCATCTCCTGTTTCTCTCTGACGCCTAGTTACATTCATGAAAAGAATCAAATACATAAACCAGAAAAAATATTTGGAAAATAAAAATTAGAAAATTCGCACATACACTTCCATTTTATTTATGTTTATATGTAATAATATCCTCCTAACACTATGCACTATGACTATGACCTAAGCACTATATATGCTCAATGACCTCAATAGTGTCTCCCAACGGATAGGTCTTAAGTTGAATATGGACAAAACAAAGATCATGTGTAATGTCCATGTCACACCTATGCCGGTAGTTGTTGGGAGCACTAAGCTCGAAGTTGTCGACGAGTATGTTTACCTGAGACAAATAGTCCGATTAGGTAAGTCCAACTTCGACCGAGAGGTCAATCGACAGATTCAACTCGGCTGGGCAGCGTTCGGGAAATTACGAAATTACGACGGGAGTCAGGTATACCTTAAAACCTGAAAACGAAATTATACAACCAGTGCGTGTTGCCTTTGATGACTTATGGATCTGAGACGTGGTCCTTCACTGCTGGCCGCTCAGTGTCGTTCAGTGAGCTATGGAGAGGGCTATGCTCGGAGTTTCTCTGCGTGATAAACTTATAAATGACGATATCCGCAGTAGAACCAGAGTGACCGACATAGCCCAATGGATTAGTAAGCTGAAGTGGCAATGAGCCGGCCATATAGCTCTAAGAACTGACAACCGATGGGAAAAAAGGTTCTCGAGTGGCAGCACCAGTAGGCGAAGTATAGAGCAACCCCCACTACATGGAGTGACGACCTGGTAAGACGTGCAGACATGTAAGGCATGGATGTAGGTGGCTCAGGACCGTGCTTCGTGGAATAACTTGGGGGAGGCCTATGTTCAGCAGTGGACTTGTGAAAGGCTGTAATAATTATGGTGATGATGAATATCCTCCAGACAGAATCTTGATTGTGGCAGTCAGTCTCAACGAAGACCCGGGAATTCAACCCGACACCACATAATCAGCAGTCGTACTTACGGTTAGGTATTTGAAATTTCTTAAATTTAGTTTTAAACGATGAATAATTTTTAGTGCTGGCTTATTACGTGTTCGACTGTGACGACAAACATCGTAAAAAATCTGCACTATCTGAGAAATTAAGAAACTAGATTCTGTGCAGTTCGCCAATTCGCATTGAAGAAGCAGTACGGCGAACCTTCCGGATAAATAACCCCGTCGAAATGATATGAAATTAAATTAAATGATATTTCCTTTGTCAAACGATATTATTTAATTTACTACCGTTTCGCAAGAAGATTTCTCTGACCAAAATAAAAACGCCGAAAGAATCTACACAGATAACACCACAAGCACAGCCTAAGAAGACGTTAGACTGTGCCACAAGTATACGGCCATTGAAATGTATTACATTATTTATGTCCTCTTTTTCATAATTTTTCATTTAAAAAACACACTATACTTTGATTTGACGTATCCAAAACTCAAAAATCTTACTTTATTCTACTTGAATCTTATAATTTACTTCTTTTTCATAAGATTTATACTTTTGTTTCCGAAAGAACTAGTGAGAAGCCTAGGACATTTTATTAATTATTTTCTAATTGTATTTTATTAAATGTGCCGTCTGCTTTATGAGATTAAGACAGGTACACCTCAACCCAACCCATATAAAATAAATCCAGTCTAATATGGCCACGGAATATAAAAAAATATGACAATGATTAAGTATTCATCAATCACCATTCTTATCTTTGAGATATTTTTTTTATTATTATAGTTTGTAATATTGTATATTTTAATATTGTAAAACTTTGAGAATTGAATTTTAAAGTTTATTCGAATATATTTGAATTTTCAAGTTTATTACATATTGTGTAAACAAAACTAACATTTTCATTAGACACGTTTGTTGTAAAGCGCCATCTTGTGTCGAGTGGACTCATTCAATCTAACATAACATCTCTTTCTTACTTTATTGTATAATGTGAGGTCGTAAATTATATAAATTAACGATAATGAGGACTATAATAATATAACTTTGATAAAATTGTGTCAAAATGTTTTATTACTTTTTAAAAAATTTGTAACAAAATAAAAATTTACAACACGCTTTTGCTGTTAATTTGGAATTCCAATAAAATGATAACTTTATTCATGTACTTTAATTTATAATGTTTATTATAATAACATTAATGACAAGCGATTTATTTCTGATTTTCTTAATAAATGTTTTTTTTATTATGAACACATTTAACATTGTTATGTACATTGTTCTGTACCTACATAGTGAAAGTAAAAAACATGAAAGTATTAATAATTAAACTTTAAAGATAAGATTTGAAATGAAAGCCGCTACAGTTTTGTTAAAACGTATAAATCGAGCAGGAATTAAGTAAATAACGGGCGGCATCGCGTCATCTATTTGTTAGTCGGGTCGGGGGCCGTCGTCGTGGCGATCAGCTGGCTAAAACTCGGCCGGTCGTAGACCCGACGAGGGTTAACGTCCCTGCCTTCATCCATCACCTGAATAATTCCTCTCATTCATACGCACCGGCGAACACATCTCAATATTTAAGTTCCATACGTCGCCCGGAAACCATCAATCAAGCGAAACGACCAACATCGATGCCGCGAAATGTAAAATCGATCGATCGATTCAAATATGATCGTCGCGGTTGATCAATGAAGCCTGTGTTACAGTAGTTCTATCGATGTGACATATTTTACTAACAATTTACAATTAACTTACTACTTGATGTAAAACTAAAATATATGATTATATATTCTAGATATAAATATGAAACAGATAACAGAACTTGAACCTATGTATTTTTGTATGTATCTGTCGTTGAGCGACCTGTGCTCGGAGTTTCTCTACATGATAGATTTGTCCACATGAGGATATCAGCAATATAACCAAACTAAGGTAACCGACATCGCCCGACGGATCAATAAAGTTGCCGTACAGGCTGAAGAGGCCATATAGCTCGTAGTGCCGGCACCCGCCGGGGAAGAAAAGTTCTCAAGTAACAGCCCAGTACCATTATGAGAAGAGTAGAGTGCCTTCCCCTAGATTTAGTGACGATCTAGTAAAAGATGGAGGAAGTCGCACGATACGGAAGTGAGCTACCTGTATCCAATACAGGTAGCTCATGATCGTACTTTGTGGCATTTCTTGGGGGAGGTCTATTTTCAGCAGTGGGCTTGTGAGGGGCTTTTCACTAAATTTATTATTATATATAGATATATATATCTTATTTATATTTGTATTATTTTATTTTTCAAAGAAAACATATATCTATTATTAACTGTGTAGAATATCCATTACCCCATTATAAGGCAATCTATGGGAGAGGCCTGTGTTAAGCAGTGAACTTTTATAGGCTATAATGGATAATGGAAATATTTTATTGTATATTTTTAATTTTTTATACATGGGATAAATGTAAATATGTTTGTATTTTTTGATGGGATGCTGTCCTAAATTGGTATTTGACCTTGGTGTCATCGAGATTGTGTCATTGTA